ATTGTTTGCCTCTAACTCCATTGTGAACTGAATTTTAGAATTTAAGGAGTTAAGATGGTCTAAAAATGCAGTTACTTTATCTAAAGGTAGAATTGTGAAAGTGTCGTCTACGTACCGCTTGTAGAATCTTGGCTTTATGGGAGAAGTAAGCAGGGCTTTCTCCTCAAAGTCCTCCATGAATATATCGGCAACAATGGGAGATACAGGTGAGCCCATCGCCACACCATCTACTTGCTTGTAGAACTCCTCCTTCCACAATAGGTAGCCAGATGTAAGGCAGTGTCTGAGTAATACTGCATATTCTACGGGCATGTTATTTTCCTCTAGCCTTCTAGTAACAATCGAGATGCAGTCTTCAACAGGTAGGCATGTGAACAGAGACTGCACATCAAAACTCACCATAGTTTCATTGTCTGCCAGATGTAGGTCTTTAATCTCGCTGACAAAATGGTAGGAATCCTTTGTGTGTGCTCTTGTATGTCCCTTGAGCGGTGAGAGTATATTCGCTAAGTGTTGAGCCAATCTGTAAGTTGGTGAATCGATTTGGCTCACTATAGGACGTAGTGGAGCATTGGGCTTGTGTATTTTTGGTAACCCATACAACTTCGGTGGTTTAGCACACGTAGGTATTATCGATTTTACGTCTAGATTTAATTTTTCGGAGTGTTTCTTTATGAGATCACTAGTTGTTTTAAGTGTGTTATTTGTTGGGTCATTTTTAACCTTTTTATACGTACTTGCATCCGACAAAAGTTCTTGTATTTTAGAATTATAATCTGACGTATCCATAACTACCGTGGCATTTCCCTTATCTGCGCGGAGAATCGTGAGTTCTGGTTTATTGCGTAGGTTAGTCAACGCTTTGAATTCGTCTTTAGGTAGATTCGGTTTTGGCGCTGAACTTCGACGTAACATAGACGAAATGTCTTGACGTATCGCTTCCAAATCCTCCTTTTGCATATTGTTTTTAAATAAACAGTCCTCGACACTACAGATAATTTGTTCGTACGGTAATTTTTTCGGTGTTATAGCAAAATTAAGACCTTTCGATAATACTCTAATTGTTGCATCATCCAGAGTTTGTTTTGACAGATTATAGACCGCGTTTAATCTATGATCCGCGTTCGTAGTCGACGGTTGCGTTTCGTTCTCACGTCGACACAGATGTTTGACATTTAATTTGGTCGTTAATTTTTTTTTTTTTTTTTTTTAAAATGACCCAACAAATAACACACTTAAAACAACTAGTGATCTCATAAAGAAACACTCCGAAAAATTAAATCTAGACGTAAAATCGATAATACCTACGTGTGCTAAACCACCGAAGTTGTATGGGTTACCAAAAATACACAAGCCCAATGCTCCACTACGTCCTATAGTGAGCCAAATCGATTCACCAACTTACAGATTGGCTCAACACTTAGCGAATATACTCTCACCGCTCAAGGGACATACAAGAGCACACACAAAGGATTCCTACCATTTTGTCAGCGAGATTAAAGACCTACATCTGGCAGACAATGAAACTATGGTGAGTTTTGATGTGCAGTCTCTGTTCACATGCCTACCTGTTGAAGACTGCATCTCGATTGTTACTAGAAGGCTAGAGGAAAATAACATGCCCGTAGAATATGCAGTATTACTCAGACACTGCCTTACATCTGGCTACCTATTGTGGAAGGAGGAGTTCTACAAGCAAGTAGATGGTGTGGCGATGGGCTCACCTGTATCTCCCATTGTTGCCGATATATTCATGGAGGACTTTGAGGAGAAAGCCCTGCTTACTTCTCCCATAAAGCCAAGATTCTACAAGCGGTACGTAGACGACACTTTCACAATTCTACCTTTAGATAAAGTAACTGCATTTTTAGACCATCTTAACTCCTTAAATTCTAAAATTCAGTTCACAATGGAGTTAGAGGCAAACAATTCTTTAGCTTTTCTAGATGCGTTAGTAATTCGGAATCCTGATAACACCTTGAGCCACACTGTGTATAGAAAAAAGACCCATACAGATAGATATTTAAACGGTGATTCTCACCACCATCCTTCACAGTTAGCTACCGTGGGTAAATCTTTGTTTCAGAGAGCACGAGGGATCTGTGACAGTAAACACCTGGCCGCCGAGCTCCAACACGTCAAGAAAGTTTTGCACGACAATAAGCTTCGAGTCCCGCGCCTACGTCACAGTGAACGAGTGAAGCCGGCCACAGTCGAGCGAGTGCCTGCTGTACTGCCATATGTCAGAGGTGTCACTGACAAGATTGGCTACATCTTGAAGCGTGCTTCCATTAAAACATATTTCAAGCCGCCGAAGAAGATTAGTCAGTTTTTACCATCAGTCAAGTGTAATATTCCTCTGCAAGATGCAGGAGTGTACAAGCTGGATTGTGAATGTGGTCTCTCTTATATAGGACAAACTAAAAGATCCATAAAAACCCGCGTTAAAGAACACATAGCTGATGTGAAGAATAGACGCTCCGGGAAGTCTGCAGTCTGTGAACACGTACAGGATCGCCCCCGTCACTACATTAGATTTGATAGACCACAAATCCTCGCTAAAGAACACCGATTCCTTCCAAGGATGATTCGCGAGGCTATTGAAATCAAAAAACATCCTAATTTCAATAGAGAAGATGGCTGGGTGCTACCATCTGCTTGGGATCCCATAATTAATAAAATTAAATCCCAACCCAAGCATACAACTGCAAGACTTCATGATACTGTAAGTTCATACTGCGTAGATCGGAACAAAAATTAATAATTTTTAATCTGGAGGTAGCCGTGGTTAACTATGACATTGGGACGTCATACACCTCAGTCCCCCCCGTGACCATGGGTGCTGTAAAGTGCTTGAAACGTCGGGAAAGTAAAATAAGTTAATATACGCGATGAAATCCGTAAAATTAGTTTTATTTAAATGTGTAGTGTTCGCGTAAATATAAGAAATCATTAGTATATTTACTAGCCGCGCCTAATTATTCCGAGTTCCCAAATAAAAATTGACAGCATGCTGGCGTTAGCACAGCTGGCAGACGACTCGTATTTTACGCCGCGCGTTATACGCATGACCGAACGTCAAACCGGTATGGCGCCGAGCCGAGCGCCCTCTGACGTCGATTCCGAAACCAGCGTTCGGCAAAGCAAAAGTTTTTCTCTGAAGACGGCGAGCTTTTAGGATTTTACCACAACCGAGGGGAAGCTCAATAGCTTCTGCTAGTTCTTCCATTGACCAAACCATAGGGACACAGCGGATGACACCCATTCAAGAAACATTATAAGATGGAATAGTTGCAATCAATTTTTCTTTTGCAAGCATTGGATTATTAAGGAATTTGTTAGCCTCATCTGCTGAGCAGAATTCAATAGAGATGCGATTTCTGCCAACGCTTTTGACTCTCCCTCTTTTAATGTTTTCTATATTATTTTTAGATAAGCATAAACCTTTTTTAATTGGTCGAAGTGATAGCCCTATTCTAGGATCTGACGAAGCCCGGAAGATGTAGACAATAAAAGGGCCTTGATCATTTGGCCCATACATTCTAATATTTAATCTATTCTATTCTATTCTATATATAGTATTTATTGAAGCTGTTAAATCAACTACAGAATTCTTTTTATATAATACTGGTTCAAATGTTCGAGTCTCAGCATGTTTTTTTTTACCACGGTCACAATCATTATTGTCACTTAATCCAAAGCACATGCCTTCATCGGGAGGGTCAGGTGGTTTCTCACGGGGAGACCCCGTTTCGTCACCCATAATTAGGTGTATTGTTCGAAGTAACTATATCTTATAAACATAGTCTACTTACAGCAGAGGAATCCACCACAAAATAAGGAAATTAAGGAAAATTAATCAAATACCGAAAAGCACTCACAAGTACGTGTTAACCCATTAACCATTCGACCGTTGGCCATAGACCTCCAATTTTTCTTCAGCACTTCTTGTAACGGAAGTTTCCTCTTGACAGTTGTCATACTCTATGGATATGTTAATACTTTGACAGTTACAATCAGTTACTATACTCTTTGGTTACTATACTCTTTGACGGTGGCCATGAACTAATAGGGATGGGCAAGTAAAACAGCATCGATATTTTTAAAAAGTATCAATTTTTATAGCGTTTTAAATATCGGTATATCGATATATCGTCATATTTTGCATTATATTTTTTAATTATTTTAAGACAAAATTTCATAACTAGCCATTTTGACGACGAAAAAATAACAACAACAGCACACGAATGCTTTTGTTGCTTAATGTTTTGTCTATTAAAAACTATATCAAAATTGATACGAATTCAATTCTCAAAAATAAATATTGAATATCGATATATTGCGAACAAAAATATTGACAGTAAATTTCGATACTCTAATAAGAAAATATCTATATTTCGATAATTTTCACCAAAGACTGCAAACTAAATAAGATATATGGGAGCTCGATGTAGGGATGAGCAAGTAAAAAATATACCGATATTAATTGTATCGATATTTTAAACAGTATTAAACAGTACCACTATATATATCGTATAATAAATATCGATATATAGTCATGTTTTGCATGATGTAGTAGCGTGAGGGTCAAAATTTTATTACTGGCCGTTTTGACATCAATAAATGCTGTAAATTATGTTACCTATTTAATTAAAAAATAGATAGAATATTTTAAAATATATCGAAATTGATACGATATCGATAATATTGATATTTCGATATATCCATATATTGTTACAAGCCTAGTTCAGTGTTAGTGTCAGGTAGGGATGGGCAAGGGGAAAAATATATCGATATATATGGAATCAATATTTTTAAACGGTATCGATATATATCGCGTGATAAATATCGATATATCGATATAACGTCGTCATTTGCATTATGTAAACATAAGGTCCAAAATTTTATATTACTGCCGGTTGGACGACGAAAAAAAAATATGGATTTTTCGATATATCGATAATTTTTGCCCAAGCCTAATGTCAGGTGTAGTGTAGTCTGTAGTGTTAAATTTTGCCGAATTATTTCTAATTTTCAAAGCAATAAAATCCATTATTACATCATTACATGCAAAAATGCACATTGCACTTGTACATACAACTTTATAATTTGTGATTGCACAGGGAATCAAGGAATAAACTACCGAGACATCAAGCAAAAGCAATTTTTAAAATATAAAATATTCTCTACCGGAAGATGATTGACACAGAATACATGTACCCTGACGGGATGATTGATTATTGATTACTCTCTTTGTAGTAGTTTGTAAGATTTCTTGTAACAATGATTTGTGATAATTCGTTGTTATCACCGATTCAAAATGATACAAATTTACCTTTTTCAAATTCCACTATTTTCCAAAAATCTCTTGAGTTAGAAAATGTCGAAGGTATGGAAAATGAAATCACAACATTCGAAAAATTTCTTAATGTATTGCATCCAAAACTTGTGGCTGATTATCTTAAATTAGCTTTATTATTTCTTAAGAGTTCTCAAACATCTTTAACTTTGCCTAATGTTTCGAATTTGAAAACGTTTTTTATTAAAATTGTGAACAACCCAAATAATCTTGGTTGTACAATGTTTGACGACACATCAAAACAAATTGCAATGGAAATAAATGAAATATTGCAATATAACAAAGAATCCTACCAATTTGTATATGCTTATGACAATGGAAACTGCAGTCAAAAGTAAGTATAAATTGTAAAGTAGTTATATTTGTTAAATTTTGGTCGCATATATTATGTGCTTTTCCTTGACTTAATTATTCTTATTCAATTCTTGTACAGATTGGGAAACAAATATGATGAAAATTAATATGCTTAGACTTTCTTGAGTTTTTTTTGGGTTTTTAAGGGGTAAATAAAAGGTGTTCAACTTTATTAATTACCTTGGAGTGACTAGATTATCTATCCCATGAGGTACTTAGTTCGACTGTATGTCCTTTTTTTATGTGTGTTACCTCAAAACTTTTTTCTGCATGAACTGATTCTGGTGCTTTTCATGTGGTCCCATATAAATTTGATGAAGGTCTGGCCAATAGTTTTTGAGTTATTCTTAATTATTTATATTGAAGTTGGTTGAACAAAATTTTTAAGTTTATAGTACAAAGTTTTTCCTAGTAGTTCCCATATACAGAAAGAAAGCCGGCAGCCGGTGCCGATCTACCAGCGCTTATTGGCGCTGGTCTATTCTGGTAATAGTTACATAAAGCAAGCCGGTTGAAGCAGAGCGAGCAAAATGTCATACTCATCGGATGATGAATTAGTTTTGTTAGAAAATGTGTATTTTAAAATCCGAAAATAAGCTATACATCCTTTTAATAGAGAAAGGAAACGCTTCGGAGAATACCATCATTTATTTGTAAAACAATTGAAATTTGATGATCAAAAATTCTATAGATATACAACAATGACTCAAGAAACATTTTATTACATTTTAGACTTAGTTCAAAAACATTTGATGAAAATTGGTGTAATTGGCATAAACAACCAAACTTACCAGAAGAAAGACTAAGGCCTTAAGTATTTTGTACTTAGCCTGGTAGGGATGTACCACCCCAGCCACACCTCAAACTTATTTCCCTGATATTATTAGTATTCCCAACAGGATTAAGTTCATGTCACTGATATACTAGTATGTAGTTGTAGTCGTTTGCAAAAAATGAGTGAAGCCAAGAAAAAACTACTATGTTTTTTAATCTATTGTCAATAAACAATAGAAAAGATGCATTAATTTTCTTTGCCTTAAATTTATATATAAATGAAAAAATAATTAATTTAAAGTATATATAAACCGTGTAGTGGCGGTTAAGAATATCCACTACCCCATATCTTCCCGTGGGTGTCGTAAAAGGCGACAAAGGGAAACAGGCAGGAGATGGGCAGCAGCATCTTCCTGATAATAGCCAAAATAACAATAAAAAAACTGCGGTTGCCAACCCGCTCGCCAAGCGTGGCAACTATGGCAATATACCCCCCATGAGCAATGACAATAATAAACGGCCCCCAGTCCCCGGCGGCCCCGCTATTCCTGGCTACGGTGGCGACCATGGTAACGGCGGGGCAGGGGGTGCTAAGAATCTCCGGTGGAGGTTCGGTTGCCACCTACGACGACTCGACCTGGCAACATACAACGCACGCACCCTGAGGACTGACGAGAAGATTGTGGAGCTGGAAGAAGAGATAGACAAGTTACGCTGGCATATTATAGGATTATCCGAAGTCCGAAGAGAGGGGGAGGACACGGTAATCCTCGAATCCGGCAACTTGTTCTATTACCGGGAGGGCGACCATCTGTCCCAAGGAGGTGTCGGATTTATCGTCCACAAGTCTCTCGTTAACAACGTTGTAAAGATTGAGAGTGTGTCGACGAGGGTTGCGTACCTTATACTCAGAATCACCAAACGGTATTCGCTGAAGGTCATACAGGTTTACGCACCAACCTCGGCACACCCTGATCAGGAGGTGGAGGAAATGTATGAGGATATCTCTAGAGCCATGCATTCCTCCAAAACCCAATATACGGTGTTAATGGGAGACTTCAATGCAAAACTAGGCACAAGAGAGAACGGTGAGCTGAAAGTAGGGAAATTTGGAATAGGGCAACGGAACCCAAGGGGCCAGCAGCTGGCCGACTTCATGGAGAAAGAGGGACTCTTTATGATGAACTCTTTCTTCCAGAAGCGGCCCCACAGGAAGTGGACCTGGTCGAGCCCCGACGGTTCGACAAAAAATGAGATTGACTTCATTATGACGACCAGACGACAACTGTTCAGTGATGTCTCAGTGATCGCGAGGGTGAAAACCGGCAGCGATCACCGAATGGTTAGAGGCACACTGAACCTAAACGTTAAGTTGGAGAGGTCTCGTCTAATGAAGTCAACGCTCCGTCCCCCTCGTGCTCTAATCCAAAGTCCCGAAACCTTTCAGCTCGAGTTACAAAACCGTTTTCAGTGCCTAGAAGACTGCAATGAAGTGGACGATTTGAATGACAAGCTCGTGGAAACTGTCCATGCGGTCGGAGCTAAGTTCTGCAAGACCCGCCGCAGAAGAACACAAAAACTCTCCGATCACACTCTTAATCTCATGGCTGTTAGACGGGAGATGAAGCTGCATTCTTCAACAGATTTAACAGCATACAGGCAACTGAACAGACAGATCTCCAAATGCATGCGGCGGGACTTACGCAAATTCAATACAGCTCGTATTGAAGAAGCGATCGAGCGGAACCGAGGCTCCAAAGTCTTTGCCAGAGATCTGTCTGCCAGAAAGCGCCAACTGTCAAAGCTGAAGACAGAATGTGGCAGCATCGTTTCCGGGGCACCTGAGATTTTGAGTGAGATTGAGAGGTTCTATGGGCAGCTGTACACGTCATCGTTGGAGCCGCACGCAAGTGTGAGTAACGATCCAAGAGCGAGTCTTATCCGACATTATTCCGATGATATCCCGGACGTCAGTCTGAGCGAGATTAGAATGGCTCTCCAGCACCTTAAAAACGGCAAGGCCCCAGGCGAGGATGGAATTACAGCGGAGCTTCTGAAAACGGGTGGAAAACCGGTACTTGAAGTCCTTCAGAAGCTCTTTAATTCCGTCCTCCATGGTGGCATTACACCGGAGGCGTGGAGCAGAAGTGTGGTGGTCTTGTTCTTCAAGAAAGGCGACAACGCTCTCTTGAAGAACTACAGACCGATTTCCCTTCTGAGCCGCGTCTACGTGCTGTTTTCGAGAGTCATTACGAATCGTCTCGCGCGCAGACTTGACGACTTCCAGCCTCCCGAACAAGCCGGTTTCCGAAAAGGCTTTAGCACCATAGACCACATACATACCCTTCGGCAAATTGTACAGAAGTCCGAGGAGTACAATTTGCCACTATGTCTGGCGTATGTGGACTATGAGAAAGCCTTTGATTCCGTCGAAATTTGGGCGGTGCTGCAGTCCCTTCAGCGATGCCAAGTTGACTGGCGGTATATCGAAGTGTTGAAGTGCTTGTACAGTAGGGCTACGATGGCTATCCGAGTACAGAACCAGAGTACGAAATCTATCCAATTGCAGAGAGGTGTAAGACAGGGTGACGTCATATCCCCGAAACTCTTTACCGCTGCATTGGAAGATGTTTTCAAGCTTCTGGACTGGAAAGGATACGGTATCAACATCAATGGCGAGTACATCACTCACCTTCGATTTGCCGACGATATAGTCCTTATGGCAGAATCGCTGGAGGACCTAAGCACTATGCTCAATGACCTCAATAGTGTTTCCCAACGGATAGGTCTTAAGATGAACATGGACAAAACAAAGATCATGTTTAATGTCCATGTCACACCTATGCCGGTAGTTGTTGGGAACACTAAGCTCGAAGTTGTTGACGAGTATGTTTACCTGGGACAAATAGTCCGACTAGGTAAGTCCAACTTCGACCGAGAGGTCAATCGACGGATTCAACTCGGTTGGGCAGCGTTCGGGAAATTACGGCACATCTTCTCGTCAGGTATACCTCAAAACTTGAAAACGAGACTGTACACCCAGTGCGTGTTGCCAGTGATGACATACGGAACTGAGACGTGGTCCTTCACTGCTGGCCGGATGAGGAAGCTCAAGGTCGCTCAGCGAGCTATGGAGAGGGCTATGCTCGGAGTTTCTCTGCGTGATAAACTCAGAAATGAGGATATCCGCAGTAGAACTAGAGTGACCGACATAGCCCAACGGATTAGTAAGCTGAAGTGGCAATGGGCCGGCCATATAGCTCGAAGAACCGACAACCGATGGGGAAGAAAGGTTCTCGAGTGGCAGCCTCGTACCGGCAGGCGAAGTGTAGGGCGTCCCCCCACTAGATGGAGTGACGACCTGGTAAGATATGCAGGAAGTCGATGGATGCAGGTGGCTCAGGACCGTGCTTTGTGGCATTCTTTGGGGGAGGCCTATGTTCAGCAGTGGACTTGTGAAGGGCTGTAATGATGATGATATATAAATATTTTTTTACAGTGCAACCTCAATATAATTATTTGTTGTATCAAGTAATTCGTTGAACTAAGGTTTGTTATATTGAGGTTAGGTTGGTCTAAAATTCGATATAAAGAGGCAAAAAAATAATAGAGATTTTCTGTGACCGATAAGGAACATCTTTTACGTTTCTGAGCCATTTCAACTTGAATCTTTAACAATAGTGATGAGCAACAATGTTTACATTACTTTCCATCAAATAACAATGATTTTTTACGAACAAAAGTGTGTCGTAACCTATCGCAACATGAATCAGGTACTATGAGATTAAGAGTCATACATTGGTGGTAACTTTATATAAAGGTCTGGGGTTGACAAAATTCGTTAATTAGAGGTTTATACTTTTTCTTGAATAGTTGAAAATTGTTTATAAAAAGCTTGTTTGCAAAAAATGTTCATAATGTAAAGGGATATTTTACATTGACTCTTATGGACAATTCAAGGGGATTACGAAGAATTTGTTAAATTGAGGAAGTCGTTATATTTAGGTACGTTATATTAAGGTTGCACTGTATTAACAATTCCAATTTTTTTAGTAATTATTAATAAAAAATTGTAGTGTTGGGTGGTTCGGGGAATAAATAAAACGTCCAATAGTCTAGACGGTAGGTTTAATACTAACTCTCTCTTATTCTATCCTACATATATATAAGCACACACTACATGCCCATCGGCAAAAGAAAAAAAAATCATTTACAAAAATTTTTTTTTAAGTGTAACATAACTTGGTTTATAAAAAAAATTATATAAAAGGTGTACATTACAAAGTATTAAAATTCTTATACTATAACATACTTATATCATAATAAAAAAAAAATCGTAAACACAGTAATTTTTAATTAATTTTATTTGTATTTATAGTAATAATAACAATTTTATTGTTTTATGTATATGGTCTAGTGCGATTTTTATGTATTGACTTATGTAAAAATTTTTAATGAAAAAAAAAAACAACGTGATTGGTTGTGACGTTATTATATCCATTGAGGAGCCAATCGCTATCATGCTATGCATTTTTATTTTCTGTATTTGGATCACCATGAGTACATAGCAAAACATGTATAAGTTTTTTCAATTTTGACAACGTAAAAATTAGTGTTTATCATTTCACCGTGTAGTGGCGTTACTAAAGCAATATAATGACATCACTGGCATTTGAATTTACATTTTAGAAAAAGCATTTTTAATTGTAAAATTGCATGAAAAATCTATTCTAAAAAAAATTTAATAATTTTTAGTATTTTAAAAAAAAAATTAAAAACATGCAACTTCTCTATTTGTATAATATCAAACAATTTTATTTTTGTTAAATACTCCTTCTCAAAAGTTATTTTAACTACTAGTTTTGGCCATAATTACTTTTAACTTTTGTATTAAAGTCAAAATCTCTTTACCAATATTTTTCAGTCAAAAGTATTTTGACTTAAGAAATTTGGCAAAAGTAGTTTCGTTTTAGGCCTTCAAAATTAGGTTTGAATAGAAAATACTGTCAAAATTAGGTTTGACCAGAAAATTACTCTAACTGTCACATGTATATTGACCGCTCCGTGGCACAGTGGCTTAGCAATGAGTTGCTGCGCTGGGGGGCGCGGGTTCGAATCCCGCACGGTACAAGTATTTGTATGGCGTACAGATAATTGTTCCGGGTCTGGATGTTTGTCCTTGTGAAATTTGTGTTTGTAAACTGCCTCCACGATACAGGAGAAAATCCTAGTGTGGGAGTAACGTTTTTAAAAAAAAAAATAAAAAAAAAATATTTTGTAACTAAGGCAATAATAGTTATTTTAAAATTTTAATTACAAATTATAAAAATAATGATATTTAAACTTTATAAAACTCCAACACAACTTGCCTAAACAAAACTAAACATGTCAAATGTGTATGCTTATGTCAAACGAGCAGGAATATTTAAGAAAATCTTAAGTTTGTTCTTAATTTTCTCAGAAACTATGTTTCCGAGCAATGAAACTTTGTACGCATACATTAGGAAATGTAGATCTTTGAAATGAGAACAGTAGTAATTTGAAAGTGCTAACTTTGGGCGGTTAATCTAAAGGTAAGCTATTATTATTTGTACATCTTTTTTTATGAAGTTGCTTTAAATACATTATGATGCACATTACCAAAAAAATATAATTTATTTTAATTTTAGCTTGGCTTAAAGCAGGCCATTCAAGGGTTCTTAAGATCAAGGCTATCTTCACACAAGTGGTGAAATTAAAAATTTTGTACAACCAACTTCAATATAAATAAAATGAGAACATCATCAATGTAGTCAGTCAATTAAATACTCATTATTACATATTTTGATCCCATTTATATGGGACCACATGAGAAGCACCACCTTTCAAATAAAAAAAGAATCATCAAAAGCGGGTCACCTAGAAAAAAGTTCTGAGGTAATACAATGGAATTCTTTACCTCCTTCTTTTTTGAAGTAGGTTAAAAACAATTTATTGGGCCCTAAAGTAGTCATGGAACCATATTAAACAAAAATCTTATTATTAAGTAATCACTTTTTCTAAGGATAATTAATTTCTAACAATAATTACTATATGGAATACACAAATGTTTCGGTTTTTGCCTGACCTTTATAGCAAATAAATGATTAATAAATACTGTGTTAGCTATTCAAATTTAAAACTGAAGCTGCAGTTACTTTTAAGTAACTAACTATTATACATATTACTTTTTATTTGAAAAGCTTTTTATTTTTTCAGAGAGCTGGTGTTGAAAAAAAAATATTTTGAAGGTTCAAGTAACTTGTTGGAACGAAGTTCACAGTAAGTTATAGCATTTTAAGCTTACCAGGAGTGGTTAAAGGGAATATTAGTAATGTTATGATAGCATTATTAGAATTTAAAAAATGTTGTATCTGTCTGTAAAAATTATTGGTGGTAACTGTTTTCACAAATAAGTTGTGCAAGAAAGAAAACTTTTGGTAAATCACACATTTGTAGACTGCCGTTCTTCTGGATGGTATAATATCGTGAATTTTGTCGCGATGTGCGATGTTGTAATTTGGATGATTTGGAAAATTGGCTGGATGCAGTCAAGTAGCTGAAGCTGGCACTGGGTTGCCTCAGTCAAGAAATGTCTACAGTATTTCATGTGAGGTCGGCCTTTACAAGGTGCAAGTGTTGTACCCACATGAAATACTGTCCCACTCCACTAAGCACTTATTATCAAAGATCATTTGGCCTTCCCCAAGTGACTATGTAATGTCTACTGGACTACTTAATGGACTGTAAATATTCAAATAACGATTTGAACAATGTGGATTTTGATATGTTTTTTCATATTAAATTACTTTGTGTGGTGGGATGTTGAATATTAATGCAATGCAACATGGGACAGTTAATGGATATGAACAAGTAAATGCTTTGATGGTGTTAAAAACCTCTGAATATTGTATCCATTCTGGAGCTTTGATATTCTTTGCCAACTGTGTGCTGGTTAAAATATTGGATAATTTATATATTCAAATTTTTTCAAATTCAAATTCATTTAATTTCAGACAACAAAGATCCATGGGTTAGTATTATTTTGGCTGAAGGCTTTGTGGCATACCATTATAAATGGTCAAACGACCACATCAAATAAAACTGATGGAAGCTTGTGATGTTATGCACTAAGGACTAAAGCTAAATTCTTAAATTCGCCAATAATATCGCCAAAATATCTCGCCTTTTTTAGTTAATCAAAAATAAGGCAAAAAGAGACAAACATGCTTTAAAGTTATTGTTCATAATACATACATATGATTTAAAATGTCAAGTCATTTATTATTGTTTCTATAAACTAGGTCAAATACAATAGTTAAGTTGCTTGTACCTCCTGATTTCTTAGAAAAGTGCCATTCTAATTTAGTCATATCATGTATGACGGTGTTAAACAATACATCAATAACACCTTTAAGTCTCTAAATCTGTTCTAACAAATCAACATCAACGACATACTTATCTTGTTAAATTTTTATATTTTGTTCCACCTAAAATGTTATATGCATAAAGAGTTCAACTGCATTTATCATATTGGTCTTTTTAACTTTTCCTCTATGCTTTAGTGCATACCCTAAATTATGTGCAGTGTCAGAGATTCTAAAAAGTTACAACACAGTCACAACAGAACAAGTTACAACAAAACAAGTCTTGCGGTATAGTAGCTAATTATTCTGACCACCATGATCATCAAAATGGCTTCTAACTTTACTCTGAATAAGCATTGACCTTATAGGTCAATGTGAATAAGTATAAAAATTAATTATATTCATTTTATTATTGACTTAAACTATACTTCATACGTAAAATTACATTTGAGATAGCAGTTGAAGAAATGCCTTTATGGCAAGGGATACTGTAGATTCTAGTATTTCTGTAGAAAGACTAATGTAGTTACGACTTTACTGTAGTAAAGAATGACTTAAAGATTTCTGAAAATTGAGTAGTCATGATCAGGAGTTGCTGCAGAGGATCAGGACATGCTACCATATTGAAATAATAAAAATTGGCAAAAATTTCAGTGACAATCAAGTTTCCATTGCCGAGGACAATGTATCAAAAAATCAAGGAGGTGAAGAAAGGCAGGGAAACTTAATTACAAGTGACTTTAAGCATCAGTGGTTGACTACAACGCTAAGCTTCATTAAAAATAACAAACTAAGTACTCTAGAGTACCCTGAAATGCCTGGAGCTTGTACAGATTTCATAGAGTACACTATTAATCATTGTAATAATAAACATGATATAGATCTTAATTTAAAGCCATTATATGCGTCTATTTGGGAAGCAATGACAATATTCAAACTGAAATATGACTTTTTATTAAAATCAAATGTCAGAAGCAGTAATACTGTGTAAGTTAAAATATGAAATGTCCTTTGTGAGCTTTAAAATGCATGCTGTTTTAAAAAAAAAGGGAGCTATTGAATTTTCCTAGAATGTACTGACTGTTTGAATTTAACATTTGCACTAATGCTGCTTTATAAAGGTGTGGGAGGATATTTTACCTTTGCCATTTTTAATCGCGTGATGCAATATCTGAGGAAATAAAAAAAAATGAAAATCAATTGTATGCATTGTGTGCACGAAACATCTAATATCTGTAATACATATAATTATTCATCAGGGGGAGTGATATAAACATTTGTAAAATAAACTGATACTTCATGTTTCAATACATATAATCACTCAAATACATTTTTTATATTTAAGTTAAAATTAATAAGACAAGTAAGCACGCGCTGACGCTCGCTACGAAGTGAAATAAATAATCGTGAATCGTGATGTCTCACTCTCGCCGCGACCGGGTGGCGCCGATGCGCTCGGAATTAAGCGTCTCCCACACAGAAGCGGCTTGCGGTGGCGGCCAGTTGTATTCGCTTGCAATGTAAGTGAGTCTGCAAACTCGTGCGGCCTTGTCGCGATCTGCAAGCGGCTGGCCGCGGCCGCATGCTCCGCCCCATTTGCCAATGCGTGTGTGTCAGCGAGTACGCGGTCAGTTGTAAATTTTTACAACAGGCCGCGTGTACCGCGTGAAAAATGGTGCTAAATTCAGAGATTTTAATAGAAACAGTGCAAAATTATCCAGTACTTTATGATAATTCGCATCGTTATCACAAAATCATTAGGATTAAAAACAAAATATATGATTGCTGAATATAATAAGACTTCATCGCGGTTTGTCATGTTTACTGACGTCCGATCGTAGCACAGACACCACAGCGAATGGCCCTTCAGGCCGCCACTTCGGCCGCGGTGGTGTGTTGATGCAGCGGCTGGAGTCGCGGCTCGCGGTTAGCCGCCACCGCAAGCCGCTTCTGTGTGGGAGACGCTTTAACTAAATCAGACATTGGGAAGTGTTTCAAATCTTACTTGCAATATAATATGTGAACTTAACACACATACCTACTACATACAAACCCACCCACATACCTACAAATGTTTAGTAAAAGCTTGTAATAACAATAAAAAGGTAAAAGCATACCATGTAGTATCCTCTTCTTATTAAAAACAAGATCATACAATAAAATAAAGGTATTTATTAAAAAGTAATAATCAAATATTTACTTACCTCTTGTAGTCCTTGGGATAGTTAAAGTATGTATTTTTTTATTTTTTCTAGTGTTATTCATACACACAGTGTAATAAACAACCATTATTAATAATACCACGTTTTTACATTAAAATATTCAAACTTGCAACTAACAAAACAAACAACATGCGTCGCACTGACCCTGAGATTGTTGTGCACTGGCTGTGCCAGCGTAACCGATTCTTTCCAGTCTCGTCGCGTACGCGTCAAGCGGCCAGTGGTCACGCACACATGCCCCGCGTGTTTGTAGTAGTGCAACAGATTCGCGCGGTTGTATGAAGCTTTATCTCTGTTCCGTTTATTTACTCATGTGAACATACTGCACATTATTGTTATTGCTTTCTTAATTTTTTTATGTCGTACTCAGGAATTATGGTTATTCTTTTTCATTTTGCAGACAACTGACTCTAGAAAAAATTCCAAAGAAACAGGATAGCGTAAATACAAAGTAAGTACTCACTAAATTAAATTTTTTTATTTAGGTACCGAATTTTAACCGTAATATTCACATTGTCATAAGGTTGCTTACATGTTCTTTTTTTTAGTTTTCCTCTGTTACCTCTTATGACACCCATGGGACGCTATGTGATTGTACATATTCTTACACCGCCACGAAACAGTTTTTGACACAAACTATTACAATAAAAACAATATAATTTTTACTCATGAAATTAATAACGTAAAAGGCGTCCGCTGCGTCAAGCGGCGTTTCCCGCGTCGTGATCCCGAGATTGAAATTAATGATATCATACAAAGTTACGAGAGTGACGCTGAAAGTTTTTAGAAAATCAAAAACTGAACAAACTTGCAAGTTATTAGTTTTATTATATATTTTCAAAATAGTGTCCATTTACATCAATACATCGCTGCATCCGATGGAACCACTGAGAAAAGCACTTTGCTCACTCGTCCTTGGGGGTCTCTTCGACGGCATTGTGAAACGCAGCCACTGCTTCCTCGGCGTCCATAAAACGTTTTCCTCGAAGTTGTCTTTTATTTTCAGAAATAAATAAAAATCGCAAGGTGTGAGGTCGGGGCTATAGGGTGGGTGACCCAGTAATTTCACGTCTGACGTCGCCAAGTAGTCGATTGTTTGCTTGGCGGTGTGTGACGAGGCGTTGTCATGGTGATGTAGGATCCTACTGTGAGGTCGTTTCTCCCGAACTTTTTTCAAGACAAGTGGCAAACAATTGTTAGTGTACCATTCTGCAGTAATTGTTTTTCGATCCTCTAAAATAATTGTTGCGTAATGATCTGTCCTTTCGAAGAACGAGGCCACCATCTTTTTTCCTACGCTTCGACATCTCTCCACTTTAGTTGGCAACTCCTCTGAAGGAAGCACCCAGACAGCAGACTGTCTCTTAGTTTCAGGATCATAACAATAAAACCAGCTTTCATCACCCGTAAGTATGTCGAACGCAGCATTTGAATCACCTCCGTTAAATCTTTGAACCATTTCAGGACACCAATCAACACGACGGAGCTTTTGGGCCTCTGTCAAATTATGAGGTATCCACCGGGCACAAGACCAATCGAAGTCTATCATAACTTTCTTCACCTCGAAAATCATAAAAAATCATTGCACGAAAATTTTCTCGCGTTAAATTCATGCTGACGTGACACAGACAATTTTCAATTTGCCGCTAGATCGTAAACACATGACCAATTAATAAAATACATACACAATAATATTGGCAAATAGTCAAAACTTTTTTTTCTAAGTTTATTTGCATTTAATTATAATATATATGTGCCATTTTGTACGATACTTGTTGCCATCTTGTAGGTTTTGGCATAATCCCGTTGCTGTAGAAATATTGGGATTATTGATTAAAAAAAATGTGACAAGTAGTTTTGACAGTACTTTCTTGATGTTAACCTAACACTACCCAAATAATTCTAAAGAGACCGAAACAGGTGAAAATCGGATGCTGCAAGGTCAGGACTATATGGTGGATGCAGTAACACTTCCCAACCAAGCTATCTCAATTTTTGCTGAGTGGCCAAAAATATGTGTGGTCTGGCGTTATCATGACGAAAGACCGCTCCCTGGTGATCAATTCCGGCCGTTTTTTCTCAATTTCTTACTTGAGTCTCATTAGTTGGCAGTAGGGATTCGAATCGATGGTTTTGCCCGGCGATAAAAGCTCATAATAAACGATACCCACAGCATCACCTTATTGCGTGTTAATCTGCGTTTGCCGATCTTGCTCCACTTTTTCAAAAGTGGCATCGACGTTATCCGTATGAGGGCGATCAGAGCGAACTGCATCTTTGACATCAAAATTCACGGGCTGAAAACGCTTGAACCAACTTTGTGCTACTCTTACTGACACTGTATTAGGTCCATAAACGTCACAAATTTTGTTGCGGCTTGAATCGCATTTTTCCCTTTTCCCTTTTTTTGTTATAAAACTTCAGAATGTATCAAAGAACAGTGGCAGACTTTCATGCATAAAATTAGATTAGAACCTTTTAGGTTATGTCTTATGTCACTTGGTAAAAGTCATGCGTCCTGTGATTGTTTGATGTTAGCTTAATACATTCTCAGCATAATGTACCTACCTACATAATTAAGAGTTTTTAGATTATTGTATCTTAATTATATATTTGCATACTATAAATGTATATTTCTAGCATGGCTCCAGGGCCTTTGTGTCATACAGTGACATTTTGTTTTAGCAAGTGTTGTCATAATATTAAATGAAATTGTAACATAGTACTATGATTGAGCTAATGTATTATTGTAGGAAGTTCTTTGTAAGAGACTTATTTTCAACCATATTACTATTATTTTTATTATTACTGACAGCATAGTTATTACTAATAATAATACAAAAATATTTTGTGTTTGTGTGTTGTGTTGGTAGTTTTACAAAGTGTATACGAAAATAGTATGAATATAGTAAATGGCAACACTTGAATAAAGTAAAATGATTTAAGTCATTTGATATTCCCAAAATTGTTTGTTTTTTTCTGTGGCTTTAATTAAAATACATTTTTATTTGAAAAATCATAGAAAAGTAATAAAACTCATTTTATATATAAATTATTTCTAGACGCAATAATTTTTGTCAACTATTTTTCTGCCATTGTTATTTCTTCGTTAGATTCATTCATTTTGACAAAACAATTGAAAAATGGCGGAAAAGTGTTTTTTTCTTTTAATTTTTTTCCTAATGTATGTAATATGTATTGATATTAACACCAGCCAGATATAAACAGTACAACCAAAGAAATTTTTTTTCAATTTTATACAAACAAAATACGAAGAAACTTTTCCCCCGACCTATTATTATAATAAGTAATTTAACTTTCCTGTTTATGTATAGCCCAGAAGGTAACAAAGACAAATCAAATAAATCCGCAAAACGTCTCAAGGAAAGGCAGAAAATGATAAAAAAGAAAACTGCAGTTATGGATGCCGTACCGATAGATTTCGTAATGGATTCGTTAAAACGGATTGTGGAGTTCATGGAAGACCAATTCAGTGCCAGTATTGTATTCAAAAATGTGACACCTAAGGAATGGAAATTTCTCATGAATGTTAAAGCTATTGTCAGAAATAGGCATATTCTGATAACCGAATTATCCCCAGCTATGAACGATCTATTGAAACGAATTGGTGCAGCTAACATAAACGCATTCAGCTTGGTTTTAAATGAGAACACATTTAAAAATAAGAAAAGGTAAGTGGAAGATAATTATACTCGCTAATAGAGAGACACTGAAAGACACTCATTCGTTCTAACTGTGCTAAAATAACAATGTCCGTCCTACACGTCATGTCGTTCATGGTGGCTAGTCCAAACGGAGACTATCCATCCGCGCATGATAGAAATATAGTGCACGAGTGTATGCGCAAGCACAGGTGCATTCTTTATTGTCTTATCTCTCTCTCTCTCTCTCTCTCGCAGGGACGGCAATCCGATACGACCGGAGAGAGATCAGTTGTAAGGCCGTATTTAAAATATAGAATAATAGTGAAACATATAAATGGCTGCTACTGTTAATTTCTTGTCAAAAAAATCCCACTGATTTTGGCCCTACCTTGAACTCAACTGAAATTACCCGATAAACATAGTAGGCAGTCGCACTTACGATTATTAGACCAACGAGACAATCAAACGTGCTAAATATAACGCTTATGTAATATGCTCAGGTGTAGGCTAAACATGTACTCGAAATGATTATTGTTAAAATTTTCAGACTCACGATGTCTTCCTTTGAAGCCCGTGTACCGACCGGTACCGATCTACAAAAATTTGCAATTAAAACATTCAGTAATGAGTGCTAGTCCTCCATAAAATTTTAAGTGCTATCCCCCATTTGTGGGGTATCATATAATCAACCTAGCTAGTTAAATCACACAATACAATTGGACTATTTTGGGCGAAAACGTTATCAAATAACAGCTCAGTACAAGCGCTGTGTAGACCTACCCCTCATTGGATGTAAGTGTGACGTAAATCCATGACATGTATACTTCATCATATGGCGAGCAGGAGGTCAATAGACGAAGCTGGCTCAACACCGCGCGTTATGGCAATTTTTTGGGGAACGCCTATGTTTAGCTGTGAACTGTTGGACTAGTGGTCGTAAATTCGACTGCTGATAATGCCGAGCATATAAATCATTTCTCTTACCAATCTGCTCGTTGTGCATCCTGTTGACTGCGGGACAAAACGAAAACCTATCCAGATTTATTGAACTAAAATCCCACTCATTACCGCAGCGTATATAAGCCGTGTTACCATCGTGAGCGACTACGCTCCCTAACCCTTTCTTTCCGAGCGTGGTCTTTTAAATAGCCTAGCGTTGGACAGAAAAGGAATGTTGCTCTGATGCGAATTTAATATGATTATTCAATATTGTTTCATTTTATCACTAATAGTTTTTTTTTTCAGAAATGTTACACTGGAGAAGATACCTAAATATATAACGCAAACGTCTCCTAAGAATAGGTAAGCGTGATTTTTAAAAAAATAATATATAAAATAATATAATAAATATTTTGACTGTAAGGAATAAAACTAACTTTACGGATTTTGTCGCGTTTAATTTTAACTTTTTTAACTCCCGACGTTTACGGGAACTTTAAAGCACCTATGATCACGGGTGGGGGGGGGGGGGGGGGCGCACTGACGTGTTTGATGTTCTGATGTCATAGTCAACGAATGCTACCTTCAACTTCTAATTATTAATTTTTGGGCTGATCTACGCGGAAGGAGCTTAGAGTATCGTGAAGTCTTGCAGTTATATTAGGAATCGGTTCTTTTGCGAGGATTTGTGGTCTATCAAATTTGATATGGTACGATCCTGAACATGTTGACATTACTGCAGACTTCCCGGAGTGTCACATAGACGATATGTTCTTTTACGCGGGCCTTATGGATGTTTTTGTTTGTCCTATGTAAGACATTCACAATTGAGCTTATACACTCCTGCATCTTGTAGAGGGATATTACACTTGACGGATAGTAAGAACTAAGTTCTTACTTAATTAATTTAATTATACTTAATTTTTGTAAAGTATTTAAAAAAGTTAATTATTACTCAATCTTTGTAAATACTTTTATAATCATTTTCAAAGTTAATTAATTTACGGTATTATTATTATTATAGTAGGAAATATAAATATCATATTTAATTTACATACAAATTAATGAGATAATCATTGTGACATGGTCACTGCGGGCTATTACTAGTCCGTACTGGTTCACATAATGATTTTTTATATTTGCGCGAATAGGTGTAATGTTTAGGAGGAATATTTGTTTTTTACGTTCTAGAGCCATGCTGCAGCTATATTAGTAGTATAGTTGTAGCATGAATGGGTCGGCTCGACCGGGAAAGGACCACGCTCTCACAGAATACCAGCGTAAAATAGCAGCATAATGCTGCTGTATTTCGTATGGTGAGTGTAGAGAACCGGAGACCCATTTTACTGGAAAAGAGGCATTCCATCTTAGTCCTCACGGGTGACAACGCATCTGCATTTTGATTCGCAAACGAGAATAAATGTAGATGTCTATGGGCCACAGCAACCACTTACCATCAAGTGGACTGTGTGCTCGTTTGTCACCCTATCCTATAAAAAAAAATAGGTACTACATCAATATACAACGTGTCCCGAAACTCAATATCAAGGGGGCACGGGGCGAGAGTCATACCAGCCCGAGGAAAAAAATCCATGTCAGGTCAGTTATAACTAAATTAAATTTATGAAAATGGGGAAATTTGCTACCTTAAATCATATCATTAGGTATTGTTACCACAAATTTCTCAATTTTACAGTGGTTTTTATGGAAGTCCGCTTCAAAATGTAGCTAATCTTGTCTGTAACTCTTCTGATATATGGTAGGATAGCCAGCATACGCTCGACTGTGGCCGGTTTTACTCGGCCACTGTGACTGAGGCGCGGGACCCGAAGCAAGTTACGTACAAAACTTGTTTGACGTGCCGGAGCTAAGCGGCCAGGTGTTAACTGTCACAGATCCCTTGTGCTCTCTGAAACAAAATAAAATCCCGTAACGTAGTCGTCGAAACGTTGGAAATTCAAAAAAACAGTTAAAATTAAACGCAATAAAATCCTTACAATTAGTTTTATTCCTGGATGGCTGAATAAATGAATGTGGAATGATTGTTTACTGTATTGTATTTTTTGAATTATCATATTATACTGGGTGGCGCCCAGGTTATCACGTTAAATAGCACAACAGTTAATACAAGTTGATATATGTCTGTTAAAATAATAAAATAAACAATAATAAAAACTAATAAAAAATGCATCTTTCAAACAAAATAAATAGGGTAAAAAATCACATAAAATAAATCATCCTTGATAATATTACTTAACTGACCTGAAATGACTTGTAGAAGCGGCAACGTCGCGGCCAGCGGTTCATTGCTCATGCGACATCGATATAGGTAATTATATTATAATACCTAGGTCCTAGGACTTGCCCATACATAGGTAATTAGGCACGCGTAGGGCGATGCTAATCCGATGTTATCAACAAATCACAAATTTCATGGTATTTTTTTATCCAAATAATCACTTTAACCTTGAAATCACTCAAGTTTATGAAACAAATCAAATTTTTAAATTTTCAAAATGTCCGCCGTGTACCCGAATGCATAATTGACATCGTCGCATGATATTATTTCGGACTTTTCGAAAGAGGGCACCATTGGCTGCAAAATTTTTTATTTTGTCGAAAGCCCGCATTATTCTTATTTTTAAGTCCTCGACAGTCGTTACTTCAGTAGAGTACACCTCATTTTTTATGTAACCCCATAAAAAGAAATCTAACGGTGTTAGATCCGGAGACCGTGCTGGCCACCGAGAAGGTCCGTATCTGCCAATCCAGTTCTCTCCGAACATCTCAGTGAGGCGCTGCCTGGCAGCCACCACTGAATGAGCAGGTGCTCCATCAAGCTGGTACCATAACCGGCTATTGGCCCCCAACGATAGTCCATCAACGTAATCCGCCACTGTGTCGTCAAGCAGTTCCAAAAATTTAGGCCCATTAAGGTTGCCTTCGATAAACACGGGACCAATTATTTGATCTCCATGTATTCCAGCCCAAACATTAACGGCAAATCTATATTGGTGCATAGACTCTCGACACAGTTGCGGATTTTCTTGACTCCAGTATCGTAAGTTCTGCCGATTCCATATTCCGTTACGCGTGAATGTGCTCTCGTCAGTCCACATTACGTTTGCTAAAAAGTTAGAGTCATTAGCTACTTTGCTCAGGAGCCATTCACAGTAGGCTTCCCTAACTGGCTTATCTCTATCTAATAAAGCCTGTACCTTTACGTATTTGAACGGCCGTTGCTTGTTTTTTTTTAATATTCTGTGAACAGACTTGTGGTGTACACAGAATTGGCGAGCTGCTCTACGGAGACTTGATGTTGGATTACGAGCGAAATAATTTAATATTCGTTCTTCCTGAGCCACGGCGACTCGCGGAGGAATTTCAACCTGATGTGGAATCAAATTTTCGCCGTCACGTAATCTTTGGACTGCCCGTATAAAAATCCGTGAGTCTGTAGGACATACACGTGTGGTATTATACCTCTCTCGGTATGTTCGTAATGCCAGGGACGCGTTTTGGTGGCATTCTCCATAAATTAAAACCATATCGGTGTATTCCAATGACGTAAAATTGATACGAGGCATTTTAAAATAAAAAAAGTTATACGTTTAAAAAAATAAAAGCGTCCAATTGCGCACGGGCTGACACACCACTAAGTTATTAAATATCACTTATCTATTATTAACGAGTCCTATCACAAATAAAAAATACAAGACAGTAAAAGAAAGCGTCAAATTTCGCACAAATAGTCACACCACCTCCTCAACACAATTATTATTATAGTATTAACGTGTCCTATCACAAACAAATCAAGAAACTTATGAAAATATTCACAAAAAAAAACTTTAAATTAAAAGGACGTGTACGCGAAAAACTAAAATTAGATCAAGCGATTAATGAACCGTTCCTAAGGACGCCGGCGTCGGACTAAGTGACTTACTGTCTTATATCGTCGCACGCGCCAATCGACTACATTCCACCCTCCCAACACCCCGTCCCAATTCTTGTCGCATCGCGCATAAGAATTATGCCTTATTTTGTTACATATAAGTACATTTTTTGCTTAATTTATTACTTTATTTGATTATTTAAAATTGGCAACGTTGCACTATAATACAATATAGGTCTCTTGGCCTTCACGGGCCATGGGTCTTTGAACTTCTAGTATTTATCAGGTGATATCTGATGCATTTACATGATGTTGTTTAATATTAAAACAAAAAAAAGGCTACCGCGCCCAGAATGTTAATTGTTATATATTTTTTTAGTTGTGTATGTTTAAAGAACTTTGTATAGAATACGTCTTTTCATTTAACGTGATAACTTCATCGTCACTTTGTATAGCATTCTATCTCTCATTCTATTTAATATAATCTCTAAAACACCAAAAGCTTATGTATTGATTATAATTTTTCAGCCCTCAATTAAATCGCTCAATTTCTCGGTGTTCGCCCCAAGAGCGAAACGCACAGCCTACGTTTGATGAGAGTAGTCCTAGTGATAAATTACTAAAGGCACTTACTACATCCACGAAAAATGATGATTGCACAAGGTAATTAATTGAGTTTATGAATTAACAAGTAAAAGAAAAAAAAGAACAAGTAAAAGGCTAACAGTTATATATATATATATATATATGTGGGATCGTCGAAGAAAAGAATGGTCGAATTAAACACAAAATCTTTAATAAAACTGCTTAGCTCTTTTACAATGTTTTTACTCCTAACCACACACTCCCTCCGCCTGTCATGACATGACTTCAAAAAATACATAAACACAGATTAAAAATAAACTTTCTCCCACACGGCCGTCCTGATCATTCATCTGACTCAGATGAATATTCATCTACGTCTTCATCGACCCATGGCTTCATGAGATCAGCCGAGGTTGTTGTGTTGATGGGCCCTTCGCATTCACCAACTTTTCTTACAGCGTACCTTTCATGATGCTTTTTGGCTGTCACTGCGTAAGGTCCTAGATACTTAGGATACAATTTACTTCTTTGAGTAAATTGTGTTCGTTTAATAGCAACTAAATCATCAACTTTGTATTCGGTAGCCTTTTTTCTTTTTCTATTATAATTTTTAACATTCTCTTCTTGCATCTTTTGTATTGACTCTTTTGCCTTTAATCTTAGTTCATTCCTTTGCTTATTCCTTAACTTCTTCTTCTTCTATTAATTTCACAATTTTTTCATTCTCATCTTTCATTTTGGTTCCAAAAAGTAACTCGAATGGAGTCATTCCAATACTTCTTTGCCATGTACTATTCAGACAGCGTTGCACTTTGGAAACTTGTTTATACCACTTCGTCGGATCATCTGCGCTCAATTTACTTATAACACTTATTATGATTTGGTGGATTCTTTCTACTTGCCCGTTTCCGCGGGGTTGTCCTGTAGTAATTGTATAATGAGTTATGCCTTCTTGTTCACAATAGTCTTGGAAGTCTTTTGAAGTAAATGCGGCGTTACGATCGGAAATAATCCTTTGAGGGGAACCAAAGGTTTGTTGTTGCACTCTCAGTTTGTCCAACGTTTCATCTGTGGACAAAGATTTTGTAGGATAGATCCAAGTAAATTTGGTAAAGCCATCAACTACCGTAAAAATGTACTTATAATTTTTATTAGTAGACGTCAATGGACCAAGATGATCAATATGATACGTCGACAACGGGACATCACCTTTGTCTAGTGGATGTAAGAATCCTTCTTTCTTTCCCTTTTTCTGTTCAATCAAAATACATTCTACACAATTATCTATAACTTTTCTAATCTTCTCCTTCAGATTCTCAACATAATACTCTCGACTCACAAGCTCTTCTGTTTTTCTAACTCCAAAATGTCCATAATCATGCTTCTTCCTTATTATTTCGTTCTGCATTTTCTTTGGAACTACAATCAGCCTCGTACCATCTTTCTCTTTGCATAATATTCCTCTTTCCATAATATAGTCTTGATAGGGTTCTTTTTCTAACATTTTCTTTAACAGACTGATATGAGGGTCGTCGTCTTGAGCTCTCTTCAAACGGGCAGCAGCTTCGGTAAGTATCAAGCAGACAGGATTTCGGCTTAGTGCGTCAGCATGTTTAAGTCTTGATCCTGACCTGTGTTCTATCTCATAATTATACTCTTCTAGGAGCAGAGCCCATCGAGCAACACGTGGAGGTAAGTCTTTCTTCTGTAATGTTTTAGTAAGAGCAGAGCAATCTGTTACGATTTTAAAACGAATTCCTAGTAGATAGACACGGAATTTCTTGACAGCTTCAACAATCGCCAGTATTTCCAAGTAATAGCTGTGATACTTTCTTTCAGCGGGTGTCGTTTTTTTGCTCATGTAGTAGACTGGATGCATTTGATTATCTGTAGGACTTTTCTGTAACAGAACGGCGCCATAACCTTCTGCGCTAGCATCTGTGTGTAGTTCTGTTGTTAGGTCTGGATCGTAAATCCGTAACACAGGTGATCTACACAATATTCTTTTCAATTCATTGAAAGCCATTTCGCACTCTTCATCAAAATTGAATTCAACGTCTTTCTTCAATAAATTGGTAAGTGGTTTTGCAATTATAGAATAATTTTTGATGAACTTTCTAAAATAACCAGACAGTCCTAAAAAAGACTGTAAAGACTTGATGTCATGAGGGGTTTTAAATCTTGATACGGCTGAAATCTTTTCTTTTGACGGGCGTAATTCATTATTCCGTATTATATAGCCTAAATATTCTATCTCCCTCTTCATGAAGTGGCATTTCTTCCAGTTAAATAAAAGACCGTACTCTTCAGCTCTTTGGAACACTTTTACCAGCTTCTCCAATCCTTCTTCTTCTGACTCCGAGGGTAAAATCAAATCATCCAAGTAGGCAAGGACAGTACCGTCAGAAATAAGATCTTGAAAGACATGGTTGACATATCTTTGGAATACTGACGGCGCCGTGCAAAGACCGAACGGCATTTTCATGAATTCATACTGCCCTTGCGGAGTTACAAAGGCCGTAAACTTCCTGCTTTCTTCATGCACATTTACATGCATAAATCCGTTCTTCAAATCTAAAGTCGTGAAAACTTTTGCACCCTTCAATCTGTCAATCTGATCTTCTATAAGAGGTAATGGGAATCGGTCTTTCACTATTCTTTTATTCAACTTTCTATAATCTATACAAAGTCTGTATGTTCCATCTTTCTTTTTAGCTAGAACTACAGGGCTTGCAAAATCTGATTTGCTGGGTCGTATAATCTTTTGGTCTAGCCATTCTTTTATTTGTTCATCAACAACTTTCATTTCCAGTGGTGACAATCGACGTGGACTTTGATATATCGGGTCTTCTTCGGTAAGTATTATCTTCATCTCAACGTTACTTTCCTTCTTTTTAGCATTAGTTTTATATTCTTTAATTAGTTTTGTAACCTTATCTGCAATTTCTTTATTTTCAGGGTAATGTTCATCACAAATAGTGTTCTTCTCTTCTGCCAGTAGTGTAAGGTAAGAAATCTTTTCAAGGAAAATACCATCACGAGTAAAATTGATTTCAAAATCTTTGAGGATAGTATTTCCAAGTATGACACTGACTGGTATAGCATAATCTTGTACTACGTGAAATTCCAAGTCAGCATAATAATCATCAATCAAAACCTTAACTTTCAGAAGTCCTTTAGTATTTAGTTCTTTTCCAGCAATTCCAGTTAGGTGTATTGATTTTTCTTTGTCATAGATAACTTTTTCTGTCATAAATTTTTCAACTTCAGATAACTTTATCAAATTCACGTCACTCCCAGTGTCAATTAATGCTGTAATTTCGACATCATTTATCTTTATCTTCTTATATGGAGTTTCTAATTCTTTGTCTTCTTTATCAGTCTTAATTTTCGTGTCAGTCTTTTGAATATTTAAAGTCTTTTTACCTTTGTTATTACACTGAGTTCCCTTATGTCCAAATTCATTGCATCGGAAGCACTTAATACCCTTCGTGCAGGTCGGGGCTTGATGATCTAGGTCCCCGCAATTAAAACATCGCTTTATTTTATTATTCTTTGCAAATGGAGTAGATACACTGGGTCGAGTCTGGGTCTTTTCTTTAATACTTTTGTAAATATCTAATTTCTTTCTAAATTCTTTAAGGTTTGACGCTCCGTACAAAATAGATTTATTAGATTCGCTGTCTTGGATACCATCAACAACGTACTCCATAAGTGCTGCATCTTCGATGTTTCCATGTAATGCACATTCTTTCATATGGAGAAAATACTGCTGGTAAGTTTCATCTTTCTTCATTTTTCTTGAGCTTAGTTTTTTATGTATGGCGGCACTATTCAATTTAGATCCAAATTCATCTTCGAGTTCTTGTTTTAATTTTTTATAATCTTTTACACCTCCGAGCGATCGTAGAAATAGTTTTGCAGTTCCACTTAGGAGTCTTTTCGCGTAAATCAGTTTTTCTACTTCAGTCCAGCTCATCAACAGTGCCGTGTCTTCAAATTCTTCAAACCATGTTGAAATCGGGTAAGAATCATCACCACTAAATGACGTCATCGACTTCTCCACATCTGCAAACGAGATATAGGATGTGGTGTCACGTGATTCTCGTTCTTCTCCATCTTTAATATCTTTTTTCGGCGGCATCTTGAAATGTTATTCTTCAAATATAAAAATCTTCACAAGTCTTCAATAGTCGTAAAATCTTCTTTAAATCATTATTTTTGTAACAATAATCTTCAATCGTAAAATCCGTAAATCGTAAATCCAGTCGTGAAACTCATATTTATCTTCTTTACATTTCGTAAAAAATAAAAAATATATCGTCATGATCGTAGAATAATGACGGTTTTGAAAAAAACACAAAATTCACTTTTTACCATATTTGGATACTACATTGTCTAAATATTATAACTGCATTAAAGAAAAAATTATATGTATTTTCAATTACAAATTAATCAGTCGGTAAACAGACGGATTTGATAGGAACTCATAGAAAAATGACGCTTGTTTATACTCGTCTTTGTACGACGCGCAGGGATCCCCCGTCGCCACCTCCCGCTCCCGACGAATCCGCGCAATCGCCACTATTCGTCGGACTCGCCCACGTGTTGCAGCGGATTAGATTTTTCTTCAAAATTACACTATTTTATCTTTGTTGGTCTGTTTGTTAGCTATTTCGTGCCTAGTTATTTTACATACCATGTTAAAAAGTGTACCACAATGAAAACAGGACGATCAAAGCTTATGTTAAAACTTGTGGAAGAAACAAGCAAAAATGCACAAATTACCAATTTTACTCATGAAGAGTACATTGATGAAGAGGACTGCATAACATGGACTCCAGGTAAGTTAATGAATTGTGATTAACATTTTGGTATTATTTAATTTTTGTATTTATACAAATTTTGCAAACTAAATAATTAAAGAATCGGTTCTGACTGTCCGTCGGTTTTCTACGGAAAATATAAATCAATTTAAAATTTAATTTGTATAAAAATTATATTTGCTAGCTGATAGAACTACAATTATTCCGTTGAGTTTTTGTTATATTTGACAATTTGAATTTTTAAGTTGTATGTAACTATATTACATTTTTCTTTGGACATGATAGTGTCGCGTAATCACAAACGATGATATTCTGTGGACACGCTTTTATATTTAACGGTCATATCTGACCATCCCACTTTTTTCTTAGAACTAAATTCACTTCCGCCTTTTTTCTATTGAAAAACAATGATTATTTGTATATATTTAATACATTTATTTCTAAAAAAATAATCTGATCTGAGTGATAATTTACCTGTATAAATAAAAACAAGTAAATTTTATTATTTTTATACATTCGAATCTTTTTATTGTAAATAGTCTTACGGTTTTTTATATATGTTTTCACATATATAATTATCTATATACTTTCACATATAGTGATATCTTTTCAGAATGCCCTTCGCCATTACCCCTAGGAGCACACAACGTAATAGAAGAGATGAACGACATTTATTAGGGTGTCTTTTCAGATGGCGTACACGGAACTAGCGAATTCATAAAATCAACAGATGGAAATATAAACACGAACATACCATAACCTAATTTTATTATTAGAGAAGATCCTTTTATGACCGTGTATCAAAATGCATCCTCATCATATTTACTCTCGTCAGAAAATCAGCGTGGTGTCGTGTCCCTCTTAAATATCAGCTCGGTATTAACCCCTTTAAATACCTCTACCTTGATATCAGATCTGTCACCTTTTCCTCAAACGATTACCCCGCCTGTTGACAGCAAAATACAAACACCTATGCCATCACCAGCAAAAACCCATGGTGAAGTATGTAATGATTTTTTAGTCCCACTCACGATGTTGCAGACTATTGCAACTGTCAATCAATCAGCACAGCTGTGTCTTCATGCCAGTAGTCTCCGGCGCCTCTTATTCGATGCAGAGGTAAAAAATTGTCCAAAATGATGATTGGGAAGAAGTTAAAAGAAAACGCTTAACAGTTGAGAATGCAGGAAAAGCATACTCCTCCAAAAAGGGTGTTATTGTTCCAGCAAAAACTATAAGTAGCATGTGCACGTGTAGATATAAATGTTACACTATGTTGACTCTAGAAGAAAGACAGGATGCGTTTAAAAATTTTTGGATTTAATTTGATCGTGAGAAACAATGGTTACATGTTGCAAATTATACTACAAAACAGAAGAATAAAAGGGGGCCTTCAAAGAGATTTAAACCGTCAATTCACTTACAAGTATTTTTTGCCAAAGGGCTCATCAAAAATAGAGGTTTGTAAAACCTGTACCAACCATATCTTTACCAACCATATCGAATATAGTGAAATTATAACATGATAGCTTTCGCTTGTAATACAATACACTCATTTGCCCGTGAGGACACGACAAAACCTTCTCAAAATCAAAGGTAGCACAAACGATGCGTCCATTAGAATTAATAGAGTCATTTTTATCATTTTTTTTTCAAGGTTCTAGATACTTTTTTGCTATTTAAATGGTTTTCATAATGTTCTCTAAGGTCGTGAAACGGATTTTGTGTTAGTTTAAAACTGTGGCATTGATCACAATTAGTATCCTTTTTGGGTATATGGAAACTCAAATTAAAATGACTGTTAACTATGTCTCTGTACCATCTAAGACTAGAAGCTGTATGTGAAAAATGATTAAGTTTAGGCCATTCTTTTTATAAATTGAACATCCGAGCGATGCTCAAGTCACCATCTAAATACAGTTTTTTGGACGCTGCTCTATTATAATGAGATTCTACCGGTACAAATGAAGTAACGTGGGCACAAACCGACCTTACCATTTCATCGTCAACAATCCGATTATAATTTTTATGTTTTCCCCTCATGTCTGTTTCTATTAAAGTGCTTCCGTCATATTTATCCCAAGCTGTCCGGACTAACCTTTCACTAATCGAATACATACTTACTACACTACTGCACTGTGGTGGTTTGAACCTTGTACTTCGAAAGGAGACTAGATATTACAATACTCCAATCTTACGTAAAGCATATGTGGGTCCATTTCCAATCAATAATGATAAATATAAAGATGTAATTAGTCTTTGCGATACCTCAATAATACCTATCAAATACCATAACTATTTTAGAAGTTTAACTCATGGGCGTAATGTTTCTTATGATAACAATTAATCTGGCAAAATAATTTTCCAATATAATTGTTTTATACTTTTTGATTACTTATATTTTTAGTTGCTTAATTGTTACTAATTTTATCTCTGAAGTTGTGATTTTTAAGAATTTATTCATTTAATTAATGTTGTTACTACCCTATATACTTATAAGAAATATTGTGATACTATAACTTTGGTAATATAATGCTTTGAGTTTAAGTTTTAAATCAGGTCAAAACATCTACAAACATTATAATCTTCTTAGTCTATATAGTACAAAAATAATGTTTTTCATAATTACTTAATTCAAGATTAATGTTTATTATATTGATTAAAAAAGAGTTTAAAGACCAGACCAAATATTTTTTTTATTTATAAGATACCTTATTCCAACCTACGATATCAACCTACCTACCTATTTACTTACCGACTACCTACCTACTTACTTACTCATGGTCAAATATAATATGACAGATAACACTTCCGCCAAAATATTACTCATTAAGTCGGTAGAACATGATTGGAAACTAACATCCGTCATTCTTTGAACAGTAACTTTCCGAAGTACAATGTCGGATAATACTATGTGACTGTGTTGACTCCAAAGTAAAATGAAGCATGTGATTTTTCTGGAAAACTGTATAATTTTAAGATGTTATTTCTATTCCAGTTTAAAACAAACCCTAATTTTAACGTGTATGCCAATTTTCATAATTACAGATTTAGAAGTAAAAAAGTTATGCCAAAAATCTATCATAATTATTTCAAATGGCTGCCCTGTAAAGTTTGAATTTTGTCAGATCCGTCACTATTCTACGACTATGACGATATTGACGTCACGAACAACGTCCCGCAGCATTACGCTCACGCGTAGTCGGTAATGTAGTGCGATGGTAGCAATGTCCCGAAGCATTCGATGCAACTCGTTTTCAAAACTTCCCGCGGGCCATCTTGGTTAGTGTTGGTAAAACAGTTCACTTCTCACAATAACTCGCCGGTATTTTGCTGATGATTTCTTCGTAAATGTTGTTAATTCTTCAACACTGATACTTCTCTGGATCCCGGACGAGCCCCCAAAATAGTTGTGGGATCGTCGAAGAAAAGAATGGTCGAATTAAACACAAAATCTTTAATAAAACTGCTTAGCTCTTTTACAATGTTTTTACTCCTAACCACACACTCCCTCCGCCTGTCATGACATGACTTCAAAAAATACATAAACACAGATTAAAAATAAACTTTCTCCCACATATATATATATATATATATATATATATATATATATATATATATATATATATATACATATATATTCTTTTTCTACAAGGTGACATTCATATTATAAGGCTTATAGTAATTAATATCTATCATTATCATATTGTCAGAATTTGAAAAGATTTTCAAATAAAAATATGTCTGTCTTTCACATAACTCATGGCTTACACATACCACAACACTATGCAAGCTCCTCGTCTCTGAGAGTTTAATGCCATTTGAGATTTCAATGTCTCAAGGGTGCCGCAAAAAGCAAAATGTACCAAAATGTATAGTGTTAGTAAAACAACATTATAGTAAGCACATTTTTGGATATGATCCAATAGTGGATACCTTTTAAGACGGATAAAAGTAATACACCTTTACTATATTATTTAATTTAAGTGGTATGATTGTCTATTTTACGATTTTAGTGTTTCGTCTATGGAGATAAAGTCGCAGAGTACTTCGGGGGTAAATGAGACTGATTTAAATTCGCCATCCCTGAAATCACGTCACACTAGCATCGAGCGAAGGTATTTTGGTTAACATTATGTATGTTTATTTTTATTTAACCATCTTAGAAATACATTCTAATATATGCTAATTTTTTTTGATATCATGCATAATCGGAGGTTCGTATTGGTTCCAGTTGATATTTTGTGACTTATCTTATCTATGGCAACATCTATATTTTTGATAAAGACTTGGTTCTAAAATAAATTATATTAAGAACTGTGAATACAATGGTGAATTGAATACCTAGCTTGTACAAAAATATTTTGTTTTTTTGATGTAACCTCAAAATAGCTTTGTATTTCTACTCTACGTAACTACTACTTTTTTTTCCAAAGTGTCCATGTCGAATTTCGGTTTAATAAACCGCCAGGAATTTCAGAATGGAGGTTCAAACTTTGTCGTCTTCATTAGATACATATTTCACGTTACCGATGTGTTTTTTTAGAATTGAAAATATAAAAATCCTACAGCGCCAAATCATCACAGAATAAATAATAAGTGTACTAACCACAGTTCATTCTCACAAATATGAGGCATGAACTTTTTAAATATAAGCATTGTCCTTGATAAATTGTCCGTGCTTTGTGGCATTCCTTGGGGGAGGCCTATGTTCGGTAGTGGACTTATGAAAGGCTGTAATGATGACGATAATGATGATGATTGCCTCGATAGAACAACGTTGTCTCGGTAAACCTAAGCGTTGCTCTCAAAGTTCCTGATCTAGATGCGGAAGGGTGCTAGGGGTATTGTGCCATGTTCCTTTTTCAACGTTTGGAAGATCACAATGATCACTGGTCAAATCTATAGTATTAATAAAAATATGCCATCATCTTGCCAACTGACATAACAGTATACTTTCGTTGGGGTCCGTTCACTAAACTGTGCTTGGATGGATTCTTCATGTTTCTTCTATTGAAAAGAAGAAGAGTTTGTAAAGAAAATATCACATAAATTGTTGCGTGAAATTATGGAATCTCGTCCGCATTGCACACCGCATTGATTGAAAAACTATCCTGATTTACGAAGTTTCTAGTTTCTACCCGCCAAATCTTAATTCTACTAATTTATATCTTTTTTACAACATTTATAAGGCGGTGAAAAACGTCATTAGAGAATTCAAAGATTCCCGGATTATTGTAATAAAGGATTTCTATAATATAGGGACACAATTTTGAAATTCTGCAATAAAACCATAATTGAGCGCCTATTTTGCCTTTCTTACAGCCGGCGCTGATCAGTTACTGTATACACATAATTCGATAACTTCATTGCAGAACAATTAGTCAAAAGCCGATTATAAATTTCCAAAGTGCTGGGAGTGTTGATCCAACCAGTAATGAGAATATTACTCCGACTAAAGAAAACTGGCACAGTGGTAATAAAGAGCGAGGAAGGAGCCACGAGAGGCGGCACGATCGAATGAAGAGTAAGCTTTTGAAGGCCATGTCAGTGCCACTGGAGAGTGATATCGGTTTAAGGTGAGGATCATCTTTTAGCACAACATTTGAACTATATAAAAATTTAAAATCAATTGCAGTCCCTTAGTCTCGTTTGAATGGGTCTCTAGATGGTTTAGATTCACATTTGGACCAGTTAAATGGCGCTGTTGTCGAAATCCAGAAATCACCCGTGCGAAGCCGGGGCGGATCGCTAGTAATATAAGTATAAAATGCAGTACTATAGTCTATTCTAAAATGCAAAACAAACTGCGTTTATTGTATTACAGTATTGCAAAGAAGGTAATACTCGAACTCGTGCTATTATATAAGTAAACTTTATTTGCACAACAATTTGCTTCAGAATTTTGTGCGGTGTATGTATTGTATCATAGAATCCGTTCGGTATGTTATAAGAAGACTAAGTAAATATGTACTCGGATTATTGACGTCCAGCGAATTGCAGACGTCTGATCGTGTTATGAACTAACGACGCAGCGTACGAGGTTTACAATTAGCCAGCGTCTTCCTTTATTTCTTTTTATATTCTATGCGAACAATGTCATGAAGACAGCTTGTAAAAAATGTATAAAAATTTCATTTTTAAATGCCATAATTTTATTGTTTGTTTACAGAATGATGCGCTTGATGGGTTGGAACGGAGGAGCTCTAGGCACAAGGGGCGAAGGCATTGTGGAGCCTATTATACCGGACTTGGGTATTGTACGTTATTTTTGATTCGTAAAAGAATTTAAACAGTTAATAAGTAACAAAAATATAACTGAGAATTAAAAATGTTGGTTTTCAAACCCCTAAATCAATCATTACAATAACATCAGTGTAAGAATTCTTGCTGATTAAAATCAATATATATTACAAAATTTTAAATAGGTTTTGGATATGAATCAATAAGTAAAAATATAAAGTGCTGACTACTCGACAATAATCATGTTCCTTCGATCCATTTCTACATCGCAAAGTAATAATAATAAAAGTTATAAAAACAAATTAATATGTTCTAATAATTTCTTATATTTACGAGACCACTACACGTTAAATGAAAATAATTTTAAGGATTTTATTGTGTTTAATTTTATCTTTTTAATTCCTGACGTTTCGGGTGCTTTACGCAACACCAATGGTCACGGGGGTCTGAGATGTTTGACGTCCCGATATCATAGTTAACGAAGGCTACTTTGATCAACATTTAATTATTAATTTTTGGGGCGATCTACAGTGGTATGCTTGGGTTTACATTTAATTTTATTAATTATAGGATCCCAAGCAGACGGCAGCACCCATTCATTTTCTCTATTGAAATGAGTATGTTTTTTTTTTAATGTCAATAGCCTCGCGATCATAGGTACTGTAAAACACCCGAAACGTCGGGAATTAAAAAGTTAAAATTAAACGCGACAAAATCCGTAAAATTGGTTTTATTAAATAATCGTGTCAATAACCAAAATTTATTGGTTCATGTCGAGATTGGAATGAAGTCTCTTTATTGTGTTGGACAGATGACTTTAAAATGTACTACGGTTTCAAAATGCAGTCATTCTTTCATATCAAAGAAAAAACAGCCAAAAAATCCCCAATTATCTGCCATCACTCCTATTTATAAAAATTAAAATAGACCAAGTGATGTATTTTATCCTAAATCGAACCCAGAACCAACAATGCAGTAAATCGGCACTACTTTATAGCTAAGCCATTCACGATATTTAATCGACTTCAAAAAAAGTTCTAAATACGAGTGTATGTTTTTTTTGCATGCATGTTACGCGATATCTTCGAGAAAAAATTTCACCACTAAGGGTAGCAAATAAATAACTTCTTTTTTAGCAATTTGAAGTCGGTGTTTACGTTTTGTTAAGAGTTATAATTATGGTATATTAAGTTCAAGTGTCTGCGTGTATGTGGCGGTGCAAGTAATCTACATCAACTAGTCGTATATTTATACCAATTGTAATTGAAGGATTTGGAAATTTATTAATACTATGACCATTAGGAAACCCATATACAGCTTTTGATTACCTGCCAATGAATGCATAAGATTTTGATTACCCCCTTCATTAACTTTTAATTTCTGGAAGAATTGTTGAAAATATAGTAGAAATTGGATAAATTGCACGTAGTTCTGCCTTCGCTATTGTTTATAAATCTTTTCTTTTCCAAAAGATGATATAATTTTTAGATAACCGGAGCAGGCTTGGGTCATAGTGCCGAACCGAAACGTCGTGCGGAAAGTTTCAAAAGAAAAAATAAATCTTCAAGAACAAATTGTATTGGTCCGAGTGACGGCGACTCGTATGAAAAAACTGTAAGTGGCACCTGATTATTAATAGCTTTATCATTCATAAATGAACAATAATCTACTGCGGTGGGCTTCTTTTCTGCCTCTGAATTTACGTAGGTGTTTACTAACCTCTAGTAAGTATATATTATATACATACATTTTCCTTAATTTTAATATTAAGAATACTAATATAAATAGGTCAATTGATTATTTCCAGTAACCAAGAATAGAATCAAATAGAATAATTTTTATTCAACATAGAAATCCACATTTTTTATTTACTACTGATTCAGAAAATACCTTTGTATATCCTCCTCTCTACCTGGGAAGAACCAGGAAGAAACGCAGCGGGATTATTTTTTTTAAACATATCACATTACAATAAATTTATACCATTTTTTAAATGAATTCTAATAGAACCAGCATGGTGGCGATCACCTCATTCCCAGGTGTTATTTTCATTTATATATTCTTTGATATTATAATAACCCTTTTTGTAAAATTTTTAAATGAATTCTAATAGAACCAGCATGGTGGCGATCACCTCATTCCCAGGTGTTATTTTCATTTATATATTCTTTGATATTATAATAACCCTTTTTGTAAAATTTTTAAATGAATTCTATTAGAACCAGCATGGTGGCGATCACCTCATTCCCAGGTGTTATTTTCATTTATATATTCTTTGATATTATAATAACCCTTTTTGTAAAATTTTTAAATGAATTCTAATAGAACCAGCATGGTGGCGATCACCTCATGCCCAGGCGTTATTTTCAATTATGTATTCTTTGATATTATAATAACCCTTTTTGTAAAATTTTTAAATGAATTTAATAGAACCAGCATGGTGGCGATCACCTCATTCCCAGGTGTTATTTTCATTTATATATTCTTTGATATTATAATAACCCTTTTTGTAAAATTTTTAAATGAATTCTAATAGAACCAGCATGGTGGCGATCACCTCATTCCCAGGTGTTATTTTCATTTATATATTCTTTGATATTATAATATCCCTTTTTGTAAAATTTTTAAATGAATTCTAATAAAACCAGCATGGTGGCGATCACCTCATTCCCAGGTGTTATTTTCATTTATATATTCTTTGATATTATAATAACCCTTTTTGTAAAATTTTTAAATGAATTCTAATAGAACCAGCATGGTGGCGATCACCTCATTCCCAGGTGTTATTTTCATTTATATATTCTTTGATATTATAATAACCCTTTTTGTAAAATTTTTAAATGAATTCTAATAGAACCAGCATGGTGGCGATCACCTCATTCCCAGGTGTTATTTTCATTTATATATTCTTTGATATTATAATAACCCTTTTTGTAAATTTTTTAAATGAATTCTAATAGAACCAGCATGGTGGCGATCACCTCATGCCCACGCGTTATTTTCAATTATGTATTCTTTGATATTATAATAACCTTTTTTGTACAATTTTTAAATGAATTCTAATAGAACCAGCATGGTGGCGATCACCTCATTCCCAGGTGTTATTTTCATTTATGTATTGTTTGATATTATAATAACCCTTTTTGTACAAATTTTAAATGAATTCTAATACAACCAGCATGGTGGCGATCACCTCATTCCCAGCCGTTATTTTCATTTATGTATTGTTTGATATTATAATAACCCTTTTTGTACAAATTTTAAATGAATTCTAATAGTAGAACCAGCATGGTGGCGATCACCTCATTCCCAGGCGTTATTTTCATTTGTGTATTATTTGATATTATAATAACTCTTTTGTACAATTTTTCTTTAATAAAACATTTAAACTTGTTTATTGACAAATTTTGAAATGTTTCTGGTATTTTGTTGTAAAAGCGAATATTAGGTCGGGGAAAAAGTTTCTTCGTATTTTATATACAAAATCAAGACAATTTTCTTTCAAAGTTTAATTACATTTAATTATAATATATGCCATTTTGTTCGATAACTTGTTGGCATCTTGTAGATAGTGACATTATCCCGTTGTTGTAGAAATATTGGGATTTTTAATCAAAAAATGCGATAAGTAGTTTTCACAGTCCTCTCTTTATGTTAACCTAACACTACCCAAAGAATCCTGAAGAGACCGAAACATGTGAAAATCTGAGGGTGCAAGGTGAGGACTATATGGCCGATGTATTAACACTTCCCAATCAAGCTCTCTCAATTTTTCCTGAGTGGCCAAAGATATGTGTGGTTTGGAGTTGTCATGATGAAAGATCACTATTTTTGTGTATGTCAATTCCGGCCGTTTTTTTCTCAATTTCTTGCTTGAGTCTTATTAGTTGTTGACAGTAGTGATCCAAATTGATGGTTTTGCCCGGCGGTAAAAGTTCATAATAAACGATTCTACGAAACGAATTCTAATCCCACCATATATACACAGCATCATCTTACTGCGTGTTAATCCGGGTTTCGCTACAGTCTGTGGAACTTGACTACCCTTTGAACATTTATAAAGTAGAATTAAATAGCTTGATTCATAACGATTCGATGCGTATAAGTTTTATATATATATATAGCTGGCATACAAAATTAAAAAGATACAATTGCTTACATTAGTGTCTGCCGGTATCGGGCGACCTCCCATACGGCCCCTGACACTTAAAGCGTAAAAAAGTAAAATGACGCGGCACATGATGCGATTAAGACATTACGCTATGAAAGTAACTAAAATAAAAACTCCCGAACAAGCCGGTTTCCGAAAAGGCTTTAGCACCATAGACCACATACATACCCTTCGGCAAATTGTACAGAAGACCGAAGAATACAATCTGCCACTTTGTCTTGCGTATGTGGACTATTAGAAAGCCTTTGATTCCGTTGAAATTAGGGTGGTGCTACAGTCCCTTCAACGGTGCCAAGTGTACTGTCAGTATATCGAAGTGCCGAAGTGTTTATACAGTAGGGCTACGATGGCTATCCGAGTACAGAACCAGAGTACGTAACCTACCCAACTGCAAAGAGGTGTAAGACAGTATGACGTAATATCCCCGAAACTCTTCACCGCTGTATTGGAAGACGTTTTCAACCTACTGGACTGGAAAGGATACGGTATTAACGTCAATGGCGAGTACATCACTCAACTTCAATTTGCCGACGATATAGTTCTTATGGCAGAATCGCTGGAGGACATAGCACTATGCTCAATGACCTCAATAGTGTCTCCCAACGGATAAGTCTTAAGATGAATATGGACAAAACAAAAATCATGTTTAACGTCCATGTCACACCTATGCCGGTAGTTATTGGGAGCACTAAGCTCGAAGTTGTTGACGAATATGTTTACCTGGGACAAATAGTCCGACTAGGTAAGTCCAACTGTGACCGAGAGGTCAATTGACGGATTCAACTCGGCTGGGCAGCGTTCGGGAGATTACTACACATGTTCTCGTCAGACATACCTCAAAACTAGATTGTACAACCAGTGCGTGTTGCCAGTGATGACATATGGATCTGAGCAGTGGCGAAGCTAGGGCTCTAAACTAGGGCAAGCCCAAGATATGGTTTTGTTGTTGCGCTCGACTAACTTCACACTCAAAGCCCACCTTATGGCTCTATACTAATTGCTATATAAACAATCGTGGTTATATTTCATTATAGAACATTTTGCCACAGGTTAGAAAGGAAGCGAACGTCTTCTCGAAAGCCCGGTAAAAAGCCCACGCGTGCGAGAGAGACGACTAATCGCGCAACTCAATTCTTTTTTTATGACAGCAGTATCGCGCAGTAAAGCAATCTGCCCAGTGTTGACTTTACATAATAAGGCTACGAGGTCATGACCTGTGTAGAACATAGGAGCGCGTGGGAAATTTGAAATAGTTTGAAACAGTTTAGGAGTTATTTTATTATTTGATATTATTGATTGAGCAGTTTGATAGGACAAGCCCGGCTTCTCAGCTTCTATAGAGGCTTCGCTACCGGATCAGAGACGTGGTCCTTCACTGCTGGTCGTATGAGGATGCTCAAAGTCAAACTGGCCCTGGAGTGTTGAGTAAAATTATATGAAGTGATTCATCTAATTTTACTCACACGATGCACTCTATTATTATATCAGTTATAAATTATATTTTTAAAGTAAATACTTACTAAACTCTGTAGTTATATAACTGGCAGTTAGTTTTCTAAGATTTGCATTGACCAAAAATTGAATTGAGACGTCATCATTATTCCATATGTTATTAGTTTTTTGGAGTTCTCTCATTTTCGCCAGGAATGCGTCAGCCTGCATGCTTTGACAAGAGGCTTGGAGAGTGTAAGCCAGTGCGTCACTACTATCCCACCAGGTACCAAGAGTGGTAGATAGTCGCTCTGTCTTAGCGCAACGAAAACCTATTCGCTATTGCTTTAATGATACTCAGATTGTACTGGTAGCGTTCGAATCTCATCGGTCTTGGAAATTTAAATTTCGATTTAGCTTCTGAACTGATTTCCACCTTCAGTTACATACCAATCGGTATACAATATACAGGGTTATTTTGCAAAGAGTAGCCAAATTTTAAACTTAAGTTCAAATATATAAACAACGATATACCGTTCTTGAAGTTTTTGAAAATACGAATAAATAAGGCTTCCACTTTTATTTGAAATTATCCCAAATTGAATGTGGACAAAAACTACGCGTACGCGCGCTCCTCTGTGTACGATTAATTTCACGTTTTTCCGACTGATCGACCCTTACGAATATGTGCGTGCGTAGTAAAATAGTAGGCAATAGATATTTGTGAATGACAATCAGTTAAAATAATGCATTACCATGTATTTTGAAATTAACAGATAAAAAGGACAGAATTTTTGAGATTTTTTTTAAATTAATTCTTATTCACCATTTGCCTATGTTGCTTATTCTGAAGCTTCGCTATAAATTTGGCTCGTTATTGCAAAATAACCCTGCTTATAAGGGAGAGTCCTAGCACCACAACTAATTACTGTTCATAAATAATTTCCTAATTTAACTCATAAACCTTTAATTTTTATTAATTTTAGCTGACTGGGACAGATTCTGGCCACAGCAACATAACAAATAAGGACACTTTAAGTGAAAACGTTTCTTCAACAGTATATTCTATCAACTCTGATGACGACAACATACATGAAAAAACTGTAAGTATTACGTGATCATTAACATCACTATTGCCCGTGTTCTAGAGAGGTCTCATGGCTTCCGATAGATGGCGGTAATCATCATTTTTACGTCAGGCATAAAATATACAGACTAGCGACGGGAATCAGCGTCAAAGGTGCGGAACGTTTGGTACTGGTCTGGTAGGTAGAGTAGTCTTCAGTCTTGCTCATTTCTCTTCTAAACAGGACCTTGATCTCGGATTCGGGTTAGAAGATTATGAAACCCACTGTAACTACAGGATGCAAAACAATCCATTTGATTTCTCAAGGATGACACTCTGTATCTCTGTATAATTCTTCATTTGGAATTAAAGGTGGGTGTCCATGTGCTAATGAAGGTCAATTAACATCAAATGAATAGGGAGCTTATAGGTCACTTCAATATTATTAAATCTCAAACTTTTACTAACCATTATATTCATCTGGAGGCATCAATACAAAATGCTCCTGGTATTCTATTGCACTACATTTTCTCCCGCCTTGTTTAATGCACCAAGCAGACATTTTTTTTTAACAAAAAAATAATAAAGCCAATCTAATGAGAAATCAAGCTCTATTAGTGTGATTCGCACTAATGGTTACAAAATGTTAGACAATGTTATATGTACATTTGTTCAAATGTTTTTTAATTTCAATAGCCTCGCGACCATGGGTGCTGTCCTGTAAAGCTCCCGAAACGTCGGGAATTATTATTTTTTTTTCAAATTTTTAATTTAATAAAAAATAAAAAGCCAATCTAGTGTGAAATCAAGCTTTTGGTGTGATTCGCACTATTGGTTACAAAATGTTAGACCATGTTATACAACATTAATTCAAATGATTTTTTTTTAAATTTCTATGACCTCGCGACCATGGGTGCTGTAAAGTAGGGATGCCCGATTTTTTGTTTTCAATCGATCTTCTGGATCGTAACCTTGTGAATCGATTCACGATTTAATCATATTGCATTGAAGCGATCTTATACGATATCGGAAAATCGTATCGTAATTTTATAAAAATAAAGAAAGGCACAGTATGCGTGCAAAATTATTTATTTTAACAATGCCTATTACGGTATCCAGTGACTTTTTCCAAATTATTATCTTTGAAAAGTATAAAACATTTATTTTATAAATTCGAAATTCGAAAAAGGTTTTACATTATAAATTCCAGCTATCTACATTTAAACTCTTCAAAAATAATAATTTTGACTGCCGCACTGGATTTAACCAATTACGGCTATCTGTTAATGTATTTCCAGATAGGGAAAACAGCTGTACTGAAGGGACCGATGTTACTACACTTGTCAGATGCTTCAATTTTTTACAAAAATTTACTTCGCAAATATCCGCGTTATAAAATAAAATGACGTATCTTACCTAGTATGAAGAAGCACCTCCCGCCCTCCCTCAATTGCGTGCACTATCCCCGTCACCACTAATCCTAGCACCGCTACTCCCAACACCACTGCACTAGGCAAGACACACCACTGACGATAATACGACACGTGTTTCGCCTCTACACGAGGCATCCTCAGGTGATATAGACTCTACGGTGGCTAACCGCTAAGTATTACTTAGCAGACTTGTCTAGTACTGCTTGTCTAGTAAGCAATGGTTCCTACAGGTACTGTTTTAAAATGTCATCCAGAGCTTCTTTTGGAATATTTTGATTGGATTGTGAGACTAGATGGCTATGAAATATTCAAATGTTTGCAGTTGTTGATGAATCTTTGTCGCTTTGCAATGATTTGAGTAGATCGGTGATGTCATTTAATGACTTTGCACATGATTGAACCTCACTGAAATGTATCTTTTATGAATCGGGGGTCTAATATCGTTGAAATCGCCAAAATGGGTACTTTTTAAATATTTTTGAAACGTTTGTTAATTTCGCAGAGTATTTTCGCCTTAAATTCTGAACCTACGTCAGAAATATCGGAGGATTCTATCAATTTCGATCGACTAACATAGGTACCCGATAATAAAATAAACAATATATTATCATACCTACCTTCATATTTCATACATTAACGCTTTTGATGTAACTCGAAGCTACTCGGTTCGGTTGATGTTTAGGTTTTAATTGATACGAATTTTTCGTACAATCGAGGCATACGATTCGATCTGGGTGAAGATCGCATTCCCTTGAATCGATTCTAAAATCAGTAGATCGTATCACCGTGAATCGATCCTTCAGAAAATCAATTCAGATCGGGCATCCCTACTGTAAAGCACCCGAAACTTCAGGAATTAAAATGTTAAAATTAAACGCGACCAATGTTATGCAACATGTTAAAAACTTTACATTAGCGTTGGATAAAACTACAGTGTAGGAGCACAATCACATCATATTAAATTGCCATTCTGATGTATGTTTATTGACAAAAATATGTTAAACTTTAATAATTCCTTATGTATTTTTGTCGTAGGCTATTGAAGGAGACTTGGCGCAGTTAACTCAATCAAAATATGAAAAGAACAAAATTGTCAGAACTCGTTTGAAGATTTTTGGAGAAATCCTAGAATTTCTTTGCTCGGATGTTATGAATAAAACAGTTGTTTTTGAGAAAAAGCTAAATAATAACGAAAAGAAATTTTTAAAGCCTGCCATTAAAAGTTTTAATAATAGAAGTAATATATCTTTTAATAATAAAGAAGAGTGTGACTTGATAGATAAAATTCGAAATGAAATGCTGTTAAACCGTGCAGTGGTAATTGAAGCTAATTTTACGAAGGCTGCAAAGTATGGCCACTACTTCTTTACACTTATTCTTTTATACCTACTAATTTGATTTTCACAATATTTTTTTTATATGTGCATGCATTCTATGAGTAAAATATTATTAATGTTGTATAAGTTTGCTTGGCTGTTCTTAAAAAACTTGACACATTAGACAATTAATAACTAGGTACTATATATTGTACAAAATTCGTTGCTAAGGTACAACAATTAGAATAAAATATATTACCATCATTGTATTAATTTCTTTGGCAGGGTACTTCATCTATCAAAAACAATCAATAAGATAGATCTTCAAATCCCAATTATGAAAAGATTAGAAGAGAGAACAAAATATATTAATGATAATGACACACAAAACTATGCCGAGACAGATAGTGTTCAGGGAATGAAAATATTATCGATTGACAAATTTATATCAACAATGGATTCTATGCAATCCTATGGAGTATATAATGAGATATCGTTCAAAGCGTTAGCTTACAGGCTCATGATGTTAGAGGAAATTTTGGAATTCATAGAGAAAGATGAATCAGAAAGAATCTATTGCACAGATACTGATATGCTTAAGTATATGAAGTTCGTGAAAAATTTTATTACAAGTATCAACGAAAGACGAAAAGATAAGCAAGTTACGGCGATTGAAGAATCAGTCGCCGAACAGATTTTGAATAGTTTAGGAAACTCTTATCTTATTTTTGAATGTGATAGACGCTTAAAGTAAGTATATTTCAGTCTTTAATTTTATATTATGTATTATTATATGATAGGTAGATCTAATCTAGTATAGAGAAAGATCATATTCAGCAGTGGACTATTGAGAAAGTATTGATTACATTGAGTTATATGTACTACGTACTAGAGAAGCTATTCCAAACAAAAATTGTCCGCTACTCTATGACTTCGCGCATGCGCGGGAGATAGTAGTCGCGCATGCGCGAAGACTTTAATATAAAATAAGATATTAATATAGAATACTCTTATTTTAATCTAAGCGAACATATTTCTAAATAAAATGTAATAACAATTATCTTATGGAATTCACAAATCTTCAATTTACACAATATTTAGTTAAGTGTACGGATTGCAGTACAGTTCAGTTGAACATAGTCAATGTTCGGAATGCGAAATCTAGTGCGTAGTATATATATATATCGATGATTGATTGGAACATACATTCCATTGTTATATCCACTAAATGTGCTATTTTCGATATTTGTTGATCTGTTCTAGGGTGGTAATATTGTATTATACATTCCCATAGATATTTGACCTCGCAATACGATCGTCGTATTATAATTTTTTAACTAATCATATTATGATTTTTACTTTTATAAAGATAAACATAAAGAAAGTGTCATAATTACCGTGATTATAAAATTTCTTGCTTTTGCCAGCAAGAACTAAAAAGACTTGGGATTTTACATGGGTGTCTTTAAAAAAAATCTGTTTAAGGAGTTCTGTATGTATGAAATATTGGGCGAATATCTAAAGTTGTTTCGGTCACATAAAGGCGTTCTTTCCATTGTCTAGCCGATTATTGAAGAACAGCCCGTGAATTTTAATAAGAGATACTTTCTTGAGAAATACTTGTATTTTAATTATTCAACTTCAATCAACGGTCGGTCGCAATCTGCTTCCTCTGGATGAGCGGCGGTGCAGTATCTGGGCACACCAACGCCTCACTCCGAACCGAAACAGTTTTTTTGCCTCGGCGTAAACACCAACATATAAAGGGGAAAACGCTTTTAGGATTTGCCAATTCTGGATACTTTTTTGTACTGTGTCACTCAGGTTGAGGAGTTGTTGTACGTATACATGGTAGTACGTTGTAGGAGTTTGAATGAATAATTTAGTTACTTAGTAAAAGCTCAAAATGTAAAATTATTTTCAAATTCAACCTACAAAAAGCATCTGTGTAATCTAACTACGACACAGATACCAGTTTTGAAAGCAATCGGTCTATTAACTAAAAAGTTCTAAATTATTTAACAGTGGTAGAGCCACGCGGCAGAATTGCTGTCGCACGGATGGGCCGGCTCGAACCGGGGTGGTACCACGACCTCACAGAATACCAGCGTGAAGTAGAGGTCTCTGCGTTTCGCTTGGTGAGTGCAGGTGGCCGGAGGCCCTTTTTACTGGAAATGAGGCATTCCATCTTAGTCCTCATGGGTGACATCGCATCTGCATTTTAATTCGCAAACGAGGATAGATGTAGATGTCTATGGGCCGCAGCAACCACTTACCATCAGGTATACTGTGTGCTCGTTTGTCACCCTTATCCTATAAAAAAATGAAGGTCACTTTGAATAAAGGTGTACGAACACGTGTTGGGAGACGACACTGATTCTCAGCTATCGATTATGAAATTAGAAAATGGACGTGTCTTTTTTAAAAAGAGAACAATGAGCTGAAAGTTACCGGCACGTACAACGCAAAATGTGACCCCATAGACATACCATTAAATATATTACACATAATGATTTAAAACTGAAAAGCAACACCCGCGACTGACTGCATTGCTAAACTCGCTCAGAGGACTTGTAACGGCGCGTGTATGTGTGCGTGCGTCGATTCGGGCGTTTGTATAGTTAGTTGAGTTACTGCTTTAACCATATAATATGTAATGTAAACTACGTACGTCGTACTAGAGCAATCGAGCAAGGAATCGGCCCTAATTAAAAAATCAGTAAATGATTACGAACAAATTACTTAAGACTGTTAATTTATAAATGATACATAATATGTATGAGATAGATATTTAGGGTGATAAACATACAAAAAAGCGAGCGTTTTAGGGAAGAAATAATGCGTAATTAGTAAATACATATAAATATAGAATATCTGTGTATATATTATTTTGTTTCTTTACAGGCAAATGAAATTAAAAAAAATGGTTTATGAAACTAAATTAATGAATTCGCCCAAATCTGAACCTACTTTGTTAAATGCCTTTGATCCTACAAGTGATTTAGCAAGCACAAATAAAAATGAAGAAGAGGAAGTATCACAGACTGAAAATGTAATCCAGTATGATACTTATGAACCAGTATCCTGCATACTTGAGTCTAAGAACGCCAAAGATGTGAAAATAGATGACTTAAATGAAAGGGAGCTTTCAAATGAAGACATAGAAATGATTGATCTAACATCAGACGACATAAGCGTAACTTGTGTTGAAAATGTCATATCAGGAGAATCTGGTGAAGTTCCAAAACATATAATAGATTTAGGAAATGCTATTTTGGAATCGGAAGTGCATGTGGGTACATCTGAGAAGGAAATTAAAGTTAATAATCAAACAGAGTCACCAATAAGTAAACAAATTCGTACTGAATCTGAAAAATCTCAAGTAGAATATGCAAAAAAAGGCTTGGTCAAAAGTTTTAAGGATGTTTCCATACTACCTAATAACCCAGAGGAAAAAATGAGTTTGAATTTGGTTAAAACTGTTCAAAATCTGATATCGGATTCCATAGACCGCTCCAAAGATTTCTTACCATTGTTACAGTGTCATGGACTTATTGATGATCGCGTAGTATACAGTTGCTATAATGAAAACACTTACTCATGGCTAAGAAATGTAATTAATGACCAATTTTTAATGGTAGATACTTCTTGTGCATCAGAAGATAGGCACAAATTACAAATGAAACTAAAAACCGTTATTGATAATGATAACGTTGAAGCCATATTAAATAGATTAAAATTGTATAATTCTGGCTTAGATACGAGTACCTGGACAGTGGCTAATAAAATAGTGTGTAATGATTCTACAGTGCTAGATTTAGTAGTAGATGACAATGCATTCCACTTCATAAGTCAGTCAAATTTTTCGCTATTTGCTGGAGTGGATAAAGCCAAATTCAGCGTCATTTGGTATTAAGTGTTTTTAATAACGTAGATTACATCGTTGAATCATGGTCAAAACAGGTTTTGCCATTCTTATTTTAGGATTATTAATAGAATCAGGCTTTACTTTGCGTAAATCCATTATATTAAAGTTGGTAAAAATTACTTTGCCTACATCCGCTCAATGAAATAAAATAATGTGTCTTACATAGTTTGAAGAGCACCGCACCGCGGATAGTGCGCGCAATTGAGAAAAGTAATTTTTTTTATCACCAACTTTAATTCTCATTTTGGTTAAAAAACTGAACTATGTATATTGAAAAACAAATGACGGCAATGATCACAGGCAGCTTAAAAGGCTAGTGTTTGCAAATCTGTTATGGGTGTGAAAAGTTTTTTTACCTGTATTATTTACTCATGGATAGGTGCAAGGGATCGAATCCCAAATTGAATACAACAGTTTATGTATGATACTCAAATTATTTTCAATGCAAGAAAGTAATATTTTCTGTGAACATTTTTAGGCTTCTTATGGTATGTTGAGGCGATGTGGCAACGGAGAGACATACAAACTACTTAGCTCGTCTAGTTTCAGATCGCATATTTACCGTCTACCATACATTTTACGCCATTGCTTGACGTTGAGACGCTGCACCAACTGCGGCGATCTCATCTCTAGAAACTAAGGCTAACTAAATTAAATATATTTCTAAGACGTTTAGCCTTTACTTTTTTAGATTGTTGAAAAAAAGCGCGTATATTACTTTTTGGGATACAGAGAATTCTGTATCTATGATCTGCTAGGATGCAAAAATTGATTAGACTGATTTAATTATCCTACACTGACTTAATATAATATTTTATAGTAAAGTTTCTAGTAATTAAATTTCATCTCTATAATAAGCACATACATCAGTAGTACAAAAACCATTTCTTTATTGTGATAGTAAAATTAAGGACAAGTATTACATAATATGTAACTTGTTTATAAACTTGTTACCGTAATATATTTTTCTTGAGTCTCTGTAAATAAAATGTTACTTTACTATTAAAACTGTTTCATTTTACTCGAAAGGCACTCAATATCTTAGGTACTTTTCTGAGGGATTGGCCATTTTATTTCAAATTTATTATAGTAGATATGTATAATTAATTTGAAACCTACATACTCTTGTAATTTTTAATTTAAAAAACTTCAAATTAAAATCTTAGCTTAGCTTTAGCTTGTTTATAGAAGAAATTTCAAGTTTGAATAATTTATTTTCGCTGTAATTTATTACTTTGGCCTGTAAATTATATTATTTTAATATTCTTACATTACCACAAATTGTATAGCGGTGTTTACACTGGCATTTACATAACTTTAAACATTTCAAAAAACTATAATTAATAGAATCAGGCGTTACTTTGCGGAAATCCATTATATTAAAGCTTTTAAAAAATTTACTTCGCAATAATCCGCTCTATAAAATAAAATGATGTGTCTTACCTAGTATGAAGAGCACCTCCCGCCCTCCCTCAATTGCGTGCACTATCCCCGTTACCACTAATCCCAGCACCACTACTCCCAACACCACTAAACTAGGAAAGACACACCACTGACGACAATACGACACGTGTTTCGCCTCTACACGAGGCATCCTCAGGTGATATAGACTACGGTGGCTAACCGCTAAGTGAGCGGTGAGCCAAAACAACTGCCTTTTATACAGACCGCTGACGCAACCGCTACTTAAGGACTTAAGGAGCGAGCGACTGCGTCATGCGATAAAACATGCGACCAATCACCGCCGGACCCAACCACGCAACCAATCGCCAAGGCAAGGCGAGGATGGAATTACAGCGGATCTTCTGCAAGCGGGTGGAAAAGGAACTTGAAGTCCTTTAGAAGCTCTTTAATTCTGTCCTCCACGGTGGCACTACTCCGCAGGCGTGGAGCAGAAGTGCTCTTGTTCTTCAAGAAAGGCGACAACGCTCTCTTGAAAAAGTAGACCGACCGATCCCTTCCGAGCCGCGTCTACGTACTGTTTTGGAGTCATTACGAATCTTCTCGCACGCAGATTCGACAGTCGCCCCAGCAAGCCGGTTTCTCAAAAGCAGCACCAGACCACATACATACCCTTCGGCAAATTGTACAGAACTACGAAGAGTACAATCTGTCACTTTGTCTTGCGCATGTGAACTAACTTTAAACAGTGGTAGAGCCACGCGGCAGCATGCGCAGTGCTGTCGCATGTATGGGCCGGCTCGAACCGGGGTGGTACCACGACCTCAGAATACCAGCGTTTACCAACTTTTGGCCGCTACATTGGAAGACGTGGACTGGTAAGGATACGGTATTAACATAAATGGCGAATAAATCACTCACTTTCGATTTGCCGACGATGTAGTCCTTATGGCAGAATTGCTGGAGGACCCAAGCCCTATGTTCAAAAACCTCAATAGTGCCTCCCAACAGATAGGTCTTAAGATGAACATGGACAAAACAAAAGTTATGTGTAACGTCTATGTCAGTCAGTTGTTAGGAGTACTAAGCTCGAAGTAGTTGACGAGTATGTCTACCTGGGACAAATAATCCAACTAGGTAAGTCTCAACTACGACCAAGAGGTCTATCGACGATTCATCGGCTGGTCAGCATTCGGGAGATTAAGACACATCTCGTTACGTATATCTTAAAACTTGAAAACGACATTGTACAACCAGTGCGTGTTGCCAGTGCTTATTATGGATCTGAAACGTGGCCCTTCACTGCTGGCCGTATGCAGAAGCTCAAGGTCTCAGCGAGTTATGGAGAGGGCTATTCTCAGGGTTTCTCTGTATGTCTGTATAACGGTAGTAGAACCAGAATAACCCTCAACCGACAATCGGTTGGGGAAAAAAGGTTCTCGAATGGCTTCCTCGTACCGGGTAGGCGAAGTGTATGGCGACCCCTCAACTAGACGGAGTGACGTCCTGGATAGACATGCAGGAAGTCGACGGATGCAGGTGGCTCAGGATCGTGCTTTGTGGCATTCCTTGGGGAAGGAGGAAGATTCAGCAGTGGCCTTGTGAAGGGCTGTAATAATGTGACATCTCACATCATTACAGCCCTTCACAAGTCCCTACAGAAGTAAAAATATCTAATTGTTAAAACTCGCGGAAGTGATTGACATATTATGCGCAATATCCAGCAATATAAAGTACGAGCCGGATCAGATTAATGAAACACTGCTGAATGATGATTGTCCAATTTGATTTATTTATTATTATTTTTTGTGATTAAATTGTTTAATCAATATTTTGATATGTATTTCTTATATTTTTTTTCTCTTTCCATTAAACATTCCTGACAACTTAGAATTATCTCTATTTCCATGACAGAGGGCTAAAATTCCGGTTTTGTCAGGAAAATTACTGTCAACTGGTAACCCTACCCTCAGCTCAATATAAAGCAGTTTTTTGCGATATTACAGACAGACACTTTAATTTTAGTCATATGTATAGATGTCAAGCGAAGCTTTGAAACTTGCAATAATGACTTGGTTGGGAAATGAGTAAGTTAACAAATAAACAATAACTAATGTTACCAAAGGTTACCCTAACTCGCGCCGTAAATTTTAGCCAACGTCAAACACGCACTAGGGCTGCCACGCATCAATTTTAACACATTAACCGCCAGAGTTACAATGACGAAAATTACAAAAAAAATCACTGATAATTGATATTATGGGTCTAAATATATATAGTGTTAAATTTTGGGATCAATCGGAGGCAGGGTTCCGTAGAAAATTAAATAAAAAATCACGAGTTCACCAGTGCCCTACGTGGCGCACTGAAGTAATGATGGCGATTTTCGTTACAAGGCGCCAGTGAGGTCATCTCTTCGGGCACCCCGCGCACCTCAGTCGCTAGCACGGTGCACGCGCTATCACGTAAAGACGTTACATCGTCTCATTTGCGATTACCACTATCTTGTGTCGCAATTTCCCGATTTACATATAAACTGTGAGGACTTATTTTTTACCCAGGATAATTTACGTAAAATTTATTTACTAGAAAAGTCGTTGCTGAATGAAGTAGATCTGATATCCGATACTGTATACGATTTAGAGAGTGGAGATGAGATTATCCATCCCCCAAGAACATGAAGGTGTGTTTATATAAGAAGCGATTCGGAAAGTGAATGTGATTCGGTGGAAAATTAGGTCACTGAAAATGTAGCTCATAATATGTCTTCGAGTAGGCTACAAAAATGGAGAGAACCAAGAGGACACCAACCATCACTGATGGCATTCAAGAAGCCAACAGGTATGTGTTTCTATTCAATAACCGACTTAAAAAAGGAGGACGTCCTCAATTTGTTTGTATGTTTTTTTTGTATACACAAATATATATAAGTATACAAAATTTTGTTTTAGGGTTTCGTTTTTTCTCTTATATATATATATAAAAGAGGAAAATCGAAACCCTTAAACTCAAAAGTCAAGAATGTTCTAACTTTTTTTAAATGGTAGGCTACTGGCTGTCTCTTTGTATGTCTTTTTATAAGCAAAGAACGGCTTTATTCTAGGTATCAAGAAACCGTATGATAAGGAATTACGAAATGCAGTCCCAGGAGCCTATTTCTCATTATTAGTCTCAGACGACATTTTTGAGGAAATAGCAGTGCAAACCAACTTGTATGCTGAGCAACGCGAAAGCACGAAGCCTTCATTGCGTTTGAATAGTTGGAAGCCAACAAAAAATAATGAAGGCAAGAATCTTTTTGGACTTATTATGTACATGGGACTAATCAAACTCCCAAAATTAACTCTATACTAGAAGACAGAGTGTTCAAACAAACATGTGCAACTTCGGTCATGAATCATCATTCATTTCGTTGACAACGAAATAGCAGATACCACCGATAGAATCTATAAAATACGCCGTCTGATAGATACATTAAATAACTCATTTTGACGGTATTATTCTCCCAGAGAAGTTTGTGTCGAAGAAAATCAAGTCCCTTACCGCGGGCGATTGATCTTTGGAAATACAATAAGAGCAAAAAGCATAAATATGGCATGAAATTGTTCAAACTGTACACGATACCAGGTTATACCTGTAAATTGGAACTTTAAGCTGGTAAAAACCACGAACAGCTGAATACAACGCCTAAAAATATTGTAATGTCACTCTGTAAAGAAATACTTGATTTGGGGTACACCGTAGTTACGAATAATTGGTACACAAGTTTGGATTTAGCCAATGAACTTCTAGATAGGAATACATTTAGTCGGCACACTGAGAAAAAATATAAAGGGCCTGCCAAAACAAGTAATCGCTGTGAAACTTAAACCAGGCGAATCTGTGGCAATGGAAAACAAACGAGGCTTAACAGTGATATCCTGGAAGGATAAACGAAGTATGTTAAAGGAAAAGTGGTTCCGAAACCGAAGATGGTTATAGGGTACAATAAATCAAAAGGAGCTGTTGACATGAGCGATGAAATGAGCGCGTATTCATCACCATTGAGAAAAATTATAAAATGGTATAAAAAGTTAGGCATCGAATTAATTTTAAACACGGCTGTAGTAAATGCCTGGATCATGTTTTGCGAAAATACGGTTCAACAAGGAATTGTAGAATTCCTATGTCAATTAGTGAAATTATGAATTATGAATATCTACTAGACTCTGGGAAAGACGAATCCGAAGATGTCGAGAATGAATCTATTTCTAAGAGACCTAAAAGACTAAAACATGTTGTTGCTGATGTAGGCCGCTGGTGTCGTCTGGGAGAATAATATATTAAAAAATTTTGGTGAGCGCGTGTACATCCGCGGGGAGGGAGATAAAGGTGGCACCTCGTATGATGTTCTAGTGCAACTAACTCGGAGCGCGGGATCATGTACTCAGCGGTGCAACACCGATGTTCCAAATATACCTTCACCCTACTATAAAATATAGATAAGATGTTTATGCCCAAATTTGGTTATGTTAGGACGGCACCCAATCACGTTCGACTTTGCCAATTGCCCGACCATACCAGGTGTCACGCGTGTATCGGAGAGGGGGCAGCGGAAGGGAGC